ATATTAAATTGAATTATTTTTCCCATTACATTGAATCAACTTGGAAAAATGGTATACTTTACTTTGTTGAGATATACAATTTTTATTCGTATATAAATGTGTTAACGATAATTTTTCTAATTGACGAACTCGTTGTGTTGTTCACATACACTCTGTCAATTTAAAATACTTATGTCTCATACTAAATTCGATACATTTATTTCTCTACTTCATTTCACTCTTTTGGGAATTAAAAAAAATGAACACTTTTAATTAAAAAAAATAAAATAAAAAAAAAAAAATTTTCAAATATTTTTATCAACAATAATATGATATCTATATACAAAACATATGTCATCTGTAAATGTGTATATCATCATCATTTACGAGAATTTAATTTTAATCGGTAGATTTAAAAACAAGTCTATAATTATCATTATTTTTACTATAAAAATATAATATCAGCCTTCTAAATGACGTTCGTGACAATTTCTAGTCAAGTCGACAACATAGTGTCAATACCATCTGCGGCATTCAATACACATAATCTTCAGGGGGTCTAATCCTTGGAAAATGTTTCGTTTAAATTGTTTTATATACTAATCGAAAAGAAAAGAATAAAAAGTCATATCATGTTGATTGTGTTGAGAAATGTCCACTTTTTAGGCTTTGTCTATAGATGATGTGTGCGTGTGTCTGGCAGTAAAAAAAATAAAATAAAATAAGCTTCTTGTGTCTTAGATGTGCCAGTTTGTTTTTAAAAGTGAAACAGTAAGAAATCAATTGCAGCTGTTGTGTGCCGACAGTTAAGAATAAAAATTTATTAATCATCTTATTCATCAAACAATAGAGATGCAGATAATTTTAGAAAGAGAGATCTGATGCTCCATTAAACATTGTCTAGAGAATCTTCATTTGAACTATTAGAATCAATTGATACATACGCAGTTATATAGACAAAATTAACATTTTTCACCATCAAAATATGTTTTTGAATTTTACATAACAATTTTAAGTAAGGAGAAGAAATTCAGATGAATATGAAAGGAATGGCTACTGTTAAAAAATATGAATAATTAACTCAATTAAAATGTTCCTTAATTTTTGATCAATTAAAGTCTTCTCATACGACTCTTTCTGGTTCATTATCGATTGATCACAAACATGAGAGGATACGTTTATACAAAAACATAAAAAACAAAAACAAATCGGTGGTATGAGATAAACATCAAATCCGTTCAATATGATGTGTTTTTTTTTTGTTTTTATTTTAATTACATGATTTCAAATAAGAAAGTGTTTTTGTTTATTCATTGAAGTACAACGTAAAAAGAATCATCAATACTTTTTCTTCTATATACGATATCTCTATTTAAAACTCTATTTTTTAAAGCGGTAAATGTTGGAACATCATGTCTTCTGTAGATGTGAATGATTATATTTTCTTGTTACTTAGATAATGCATCTGTTGTTATGTTTTAATTCTAATTAGATTAAAAAGATGTTTAATTCAGTTTTCAACAAGAGAATGTACAATTTAAACATATGAGGAGAAAAAATAATAAAATAGAGTATGTATTTCATGAATGTCTAAAAGGTATTCGATATTGATCAACAGACAAATTTCTAATTTTCTTTTTTTATATGACCTTAAGGAATAAATTTCAAATTGTTCCAGATGATTAATGATTGATTATTCATTTCAAAAACGAATAATAATGGATGTTTTAAATAATATTTGAAAGAATGAAGATAGAGAGTTATGTACTTTTTCTTAGTATGCAACAAAATTGAACCGCATAAACATATGATAAAAAAATGAAGTCCCATCTATCGTGTATGTACTGTAGAAAAGTTTGGTGATAGGCACAATGGCTGAAAGGATAAAATATGCATAATTCACTTAAAATCAAACACAATAAATTTAACGTGAACGATGATGGATAAAAAATGGATACAGTATCGTTGAAAATATATACAGTTTTTTCTCTAGATTTCAATATTATGTATAGAAGATGAAACTGTGAAACCACTAAATTTTCAAGTGATTCCAACTCATTTACCATGAACGTAAGATATACATATTTCATATTTCAAAAATCATTTGTATTTCTAAAATACGTTTTCACTAAGTAATTCACTTTTCTTTAAACATAAACATTGCTACGAGGTATAAAATGGTCTCATTTATGCATGATTAATAAGTCCCATTATGTTGTTTACAATCATTATATAGTTTAAAATTTCTCAGTAAAAATATTCTGTTACATCAAGTTTGACACAATCGATAGAAAAGAAATTACTTATTCTTGATAGGGTGAGCACATTTGTAAGACGATGATTATTGGCAATGATAAGTACTCCAATCAGCTTAAAATATACAGCTTTTGATGTATTATGCATTATACAATATGTAATCTGTGCGCCTCAAACCACAAAATATTCTACGATTTGTCTATAAAATTTATACATGATTAAAAAAAAAAGATTTGTATTTTTACTTCAAATGTAGTTTCTCAGAAAAAAAAATGAAAGTAAGAATTACACAAAAAAAAATCGATATAGACATGTAAGATACATCTTATAAATAGATAGAAGTAAGAAATGCTACATACGTACGTACATACGATAGGTATAAATAAAAACGAACGAACAAACAGTCGATTTTTACAAAAATGAAAAATCGATAGCCAAAAGATAAATTTCTACGGGATTTTTAATTTCTTAACAAAAACTTCTAAATACACAAAAAGAGATTACAAAGAGAAAAAAAAACCAAACGTATAAATTGAAATAAAGGCTTAAATATAGACGATTGGACGCACGTTATGTTGATTATATTCAAAAGTCATCGTGAAGGAGACAAACAAAAAAAGCACAAAATAACGTTATTACCGGGACACAAAGAGTAAGAGGTAGAATTTTACAAAACGAGCTCGGGCATTTAATTTATCTAACATAACTTTAAATGTGCAACAATGGTTGAATGAATGAATGAATAAGAAACAATAATATGAGAATTTTTATAATAAAACAAAAATTATATCAAGTCGAATAAATACATACATGTGAGTTAGAGAAATGCAAACAGACGGGGAGAGGAGAATGTATTTCATCAAAATAATAACAAGAATAAAAGTATGACTAAGTGTCGAGAAAGACAACTTATGCATAAAAATTTGTTTCTTACACTGTTACTTTGATGCGTAAGTAAGAAACTGTAACGAAATAATAACGGAGAGCAGATCATGACTGAAAAGTAAGCAAAACGAGTTTTACATAAATGAATAAACTGTATGAACACATTACAAGTCTCATTCAAATCCAGTCAATCTTTTAATTATCTAGGAGCAAAAAAGAATCTCGATCAATCATAGTCTAAGAAATGCACGTTAATTGAATGATCGATGAATCGAGAAGGCTAATATTAGACGGTGTAATTTCTCAAAACAAAAACTCATTGAACTATTCCGAGATTTCTTTGGTGATTCATTCTCGTTAAGTACTATCAAACAGGCATATTTATTCACAAACGTGGCAAGTATTGCTTTTGATAGAAAGACACGCTTTTGCAAAGCAGACACATAAACAATGCTACAACTAAAGGACAAAAAAACATAATAAATATTATGTATAATTAAGGTCGTTTCTGTTTTAAACGTCGTGCTGTTTTAGTTCGTCTTTTTACCGGTGATGGTGATCTTGATTTCTCACTTGATAGAGAAAATAATGATTCGTCGGAAGGAGTATAGGTTGAAGAAGAAGACTTTGAATGACGCGTTGGTGGCGGACTTTCTGATAATGAAGAATTAGATGATGAAGATGATGATGATAATAAAAGAATTTTTCGTTTTCGTTTTCGTTTTGCGGTCGAAATCGATTGACGATGTACACTATGTTGTTCATCACGTTTTTTTTTATTTGAATTTTTTATTCGAAATTCATGTCGTCGAATTTTTTTTGTTTCACCATTATCGAATAAAATTGTATAGAACAAAACTTGTTTACTACCTACAAAAACAAACAAAGAAGGAATTAATAGATGAAAATTTTTTGTAGACCATACACATACCAACATAGGTACACGGGTAAATTTGATCATCTGTCCATCTGACATTGATATTTGTACCGAGTAATGGCATATCATTTGGTGACGGTAACAGAAGATCTTCTCGTAACATATCTCGACTAAAACTACCATCAAAAAAATCAACGGCATAATGTACAACAGGATCAATTGATATTAGTTTTCCTTCGAGATGTTCGGTTGTCTGATTTCGATAGGGTTTTAATAGAATAGTTGTTCCAACTACTATTTGATCCTGATCATTATCAGTTGTTGTTCCATTCCAATCATCATCATCTATTTCCATTTCACTTTCATTATTATTCAATTTTCCTTTTTTCTTTTTTTTCTTATGTCGAAAATTTGATACATATTTCATTTGATTTTTCGAATGTAAATGACAATAGGTATGTAACAATTTTGGCCAATTTCCAATGTCAAATGTACAACCACTAATCAATCCACAAGTAACATGATATTGATTGAAACAATTTGGATAATCACATATAACAATTGTTGTTGGTAAACGACGTTTATCCAATGGACAAAATGACCAACAATAATGGCATTGATTTTTTTTTTGTATGACTGCTGCCGTTGTTGTGGTCGATGTAGATGAAGACGATGAGGTAACGATCGTAGAAGAAATTTCATTCGTTAACACTGGAGACGATTGGAATGATTTATGATAAATTAAGCATACAATATGTGCCCATTTGTGTTCATTTGCTTCTTTTGTATTCAATATTAATGCACCGCCACTTAGTAAACATAACGAACAACCTTCATTTATTCTCTGTAATGTTGTTGTCGATATCTTAAATGAAAAGTGAAAGATATTTGTGAAAATATAACAGATTTGATTCCAGAAACACGCTTATGTCACTCTCACCATTTAGCATACGATTAAACAAATAGAAAATGTCTATACTAACGAAACTGTTAACTTTTAATAGACATGAGTGATATGATGATGACTCTAGACATTTATTAAAGTATATTCAAGACGTGGTTTAATAGCCTATTGCAAACCTAAACATACTTCATTTGTTTGTTGTTTACATCGTTGACATAGCCATTGTTGTTGATTATTTGTTTCTTCATCAGATAAATTTGTTGAGTTATTATTTAGCATACATATATTCCTATAACATGTTTGATGTACAACAATTTTACATTTCTGACATTGTGTTAATATTAAAAGTTTTGGAGACGCCGATGTGGTAGGTACTTGTTTATTGAATAAATGAAAAACAACATCATTGACTAGAAATTCTTGTTCTTGTTCAATGTCACTCTCATTATCTTTATTCATTGTAAATAGCTGACATATTGAACAATGGGGCGCTTTTAGACTTAACCATTGATTAAAAGATTTTTCTTTATCAAAATCATATTTAACGTTATTGAATTGCCATAATTCACATAAAATTTGTTCACGATATTTTCCTGCTTGTTTTAAACCGTTAAATAACCACAATGGTTTAATCGAAGAAAACAGATCATATTCTAATTTTGATTGATATTTTTCGACGATATTCGATGTCAAACTGAGTAATGTATTATTTTGTGTTTTTAATTTCGATTTTGAGCGAGATAATGCAGAACGTAATAGTGGTACAGAATACAATGAATTTATTTTTGTTGCTAGTGAATAATCAAATTGTTGCTGTTTATCATATTTTGATAAACATGTAAATATTTTTAAATAACGTTCATTTGAAACTGTCTGTTGATGTTGATAACGTGTTGTTATTTCATCATTTATTGGTAATATTGTCGTTCCAGACATTGTTCTTGTTGCAGATTTTAGAATCAATTTATTTGTAAATGGTAAACGTTTTTTCGATACAGACGACGGTGTTGACATCCGTTTTCTTGTACTATTATGATCTGATTCTGGATGAGGTGTATGATCGTTGCCAAGTAACCATTGTTCATATATTTCAGGTTGATATTTTTTAACAAATATATCCATTCCAATACTAACCATATCGTGTCGACAAGAGCATGCACTCGCATGTTTACCATATTCTAGCCAACGTTTCATCGCAAAATTTGTTGATTCAGCACAATTATAACCATAATTAAAACCACTATGATAAGCATAAGGAAACGTTATGATAAATTCATTTGGATGTTGAGTAATTTTACTATAAGGAATTGAGTTGTATTGCAAGATCGACGGACTTATTAGCGTCATTTTGTGACGTAGAAAGGCAGGACATTGACGAGATAAATTTGTAAAATAGGTCGATGCTAAACGTTCAAATTTTTTGCCATACGATGGAGGAATAACATACCTAAATGAATAAAATATGTCAGAAAAATTGAAACCCATTTAGTCATCAATCCATCTTTAGATATAGACAATGTTAATTAGTCCATAATAATACATAACATACCACTGCTTTGGTGCTCCGTAGTGTAAATAGTTGATACTATATAAATCCATATCTTCGGTATGCCATGCAAATGTTGCTTTCCACATTCCAAAATAAAGATACGAAGTATTAACACCTTGAATTTTTGTACCATATTCTAATTCAAGATCATCTAATATTGTACCCAAACAATTTAAATTCCAATACGATTGTTTACTATCGTAGAGAGTTCCACTGACATCTGCACCATAGACAGGTGCAACATATGTCAAATTTTTCCAATATTTTCTCTCTAATGATTGATAATCTAAATAGAAAAGAAATAAATTGTAGATATTTCTTTTTTTGAATTTAACTTCCTACCATCTAATGGTGCACGATAACGATCATTGTTGGATAATTTTTCAAATTCTGTTAAATTTAATGTTTTTTGTTGAATATTATAAATTTCATAGATACCATCTTTGCCATGTACTTCTTGTTTTATTGGAGATTTAACATCCATTGATTGTATATTATTGTATCCACTTTCTCGTGCTACCCATTCTTTTGGTGGAATAATTTTAGCTAGTCCAATTCGATGTGTATTTTGTGCTTCGATTGTTTCGATATAGTTTGAGAAATTTTTAAATTCATCATAGGTTGGTCGAAAAACTAGAATCATGGAAAGATGAAAAAATAATTAAATTAGTATAAAAAATATAGATATTTTTAAATTTCTGTTTACCAGGTACAATTGGATGCTGAAGATCCGTATTTGAAGACTGTGAAAGTTTTGTAGGAGACTGAAAAGAGGGAGACGATAGAGACATCTAAAATATATAGAAATTAAATTGATTATTTTAAAGAAATGAGAAATAGTTTTATCAAAAATAACAAAATTGATCGTGAATCTTGTTACGTCATGCATTTTGTGTATTCATATTATTTTGATAATTCCCTAATCAAAACTCTATCTAAACGTAATTTTATAGACTGGTCATAGTAATTATACATTTTTTTCTATGTAGAAGACCTATGACTTGAAGGAATTCAAATATCAAACAACTGCTGATAACCATTTTGATCGAGCACATCTCATTTTAATTATTTGTAAAGTGATCAATTTAACCTTATGTAACTTGTAAATACAAAGTTTAATTTTTATTTTGTTCACAAGAGTAGATTATTTTTCTAATAGTTAATTCAATTATATCACATCATTGTAACCAATTCTTAAAAAACAATTTCTTATTTGTTGTAACATTTATTTTACAATTGCAACGAAGTGCAGAAACAATCAATTAGTTAACAAATTAAAATTAAACATACTACTGGGAGAAGTATGTGTTTTTTTCATTGTTTTTTGCGCAATCCCCATCTCCCGGTACACACATTACTGGTACATGATACATGTAATACATGATTCTACGTTCTTCTACATCTTGCATTTGATTCGAACAAAATTCTCAGGAGTCAAGATCACTATGTGAATAGACTAGGATAAAAATTTCAGCTCGAAATATTAAATCATAAACGACGAGATGTGCAAAATAACACTTTCATCACTATACATTTTTCTCGTCTTTGGTAGTAGCTCCAAAGACAGAATTAATTTTAAACTGGAATAGCCATCTAAATTTATAATCTGATTCTGATAATCTCTTCATTAAAAAAATATATTTTATTGAACGACAGTAGTGGAAATTTTGCTAATACGGAAATGTACTGTTTTTTTATGCATTTTAAGACCTATAGAAGAATGAAACTCTATTGCGAGGTCGCACCCAGTCCTGTCATGACTTCTTCTGTTAACGAAAGAACGCTGTTCTACAAATCCAGATGTTTCAAAGAACAATGACGATCATATGTTTGATTCACAATAGTAGCTTTTTTAACAAATGCTCGGATCTAGAGCTGCTGAAAAATATCTTAGATAACAGAATTCAAGAACAATGAAAAGTAATAGATATTCTGAAAGTAAACAGTTCGAATTGTGCATCGTTGAGTTTAATGAATAATCAAGTTTCAATAAAAAAAAAGTTGATTTTCTCTGGGAGGAGAAGGACCCTTAACAGACCTAATAAATTAACTTTGTCTTTCTATAATCAGACACTGCTTCTTATTTTAATGAGCAATGTGTATTAACGAGTCTATGCATTAGGGAAATAATAACGTTTCATTTTCCTTAATAGAATAAAACTATAGACGATTAGAATAATTATCTTTTACCAAAAAAATTGAAACAGGAAACAGACACATTCACAAAAAAAAGTTCAAACATTTAGAAAAATGATCATATATTTATATACTTTGTATTGTCATTCATCCCTGATGCAAGTTGATCAGATGAATCTAAAATATCATCTCATGTCAAAAAAGGAAAAGGAAAACTAATTTCAAATAGTGCTTAGAGAAGTGAAATGAATGAACAGGTTGTAAAGGTTAATTATTCTGATGTAATGTGTCATGAGAGAGATTACAACAATTAAATACAGAGAATCACGATATTCAGCCAAAGTCAATTTGTAAACAATCACTTTTGTTTAAAAAAAAATTATACTTGGATTTATCCCAGTGGATGTACTTGCATGTAGGTACCTGGTCAAGTACTTCACAAGTTTTGTCCAACGTTCTTGGACTTTTTTCAAGTAAACCAAGTACTTGGCAAGAAAATCAAGTACTAGAATTACTTTAACTGCTTATCAAGGCCTTGGCCAGGCACTTATCCAACTAACCCCCAAGTACTTGTGGGAGATTCAACAAGTAGATCAAATGCCTTCAGACACTTATCGAGTAGTATTTTTTGAAAATACTTGTCAAATACCGTGAAAATGTTCAAGTAAACAAGTACTCACTCGCAAGTACATTCACTAGGGTATATTACATATATCTAGAAACCTAGTCTTTTCTTAATCTAAGAGCATCTGTTATCCTCCTAAGACGCATGGCGATTAATAATTGATCAATATAAGTAGTTGATTAATAATGTTCAGAAAACAATATTTGATAGCGTGAACTATCAATCCATTCTTCAGCTCAATTAAAGTAACAAAGAAGCACAGCAACATTAAATTAAGTTCATATTTCGTTGTATTTGCCTTTCAAAAGTGTACATTGATTAGCCTTCCTATATCTCAAAGAAATAAGTGATGTAAAAAAAGAATGATTTCAATAATCGATAAATGAAAGGAATCCGTTATGCAGAAAACGTACTACTTTTCTGTCTTATTTAAATGTTCGTAACATATTCTTCCTAAGATGTCGCCACATACTGATATCAAATAGCTCTTTCAAATAATCTTTCTACAATCATCTGTTATTGTTTTCTTTACTAAAACTAGTTAATTATCAAGTCAGATATCTCTACATGCTTCAATTGTTCTTCTGAAACTTCGAAAATTTCTATCTCTTCAAAAAGGAACGGTCACTACGCAAGACACAGAGTAGCTGATAAAATAAAATAATTTTTAACGATTCAAAAAAGATCATAGTCTCAGTTTCGTTCATCTAAGTTGAAAAAAGAAAGATTCAGGTAAACATCTTTTTTTCTAAAACCAGGAGGCAAAATATACAAAAATGACATTTCCAAAAATAACGCGATCTTACTTTATCTATTACAATTTTATGAGAACCAAAAAAATAGAACAAAACAACAAAAAATCAAAACACTACTGAGAATTCTAATAGTTGTTAGGATAAAGTCTCACTTACACGTATAAATGAAGATCTGAAAACGAAACAATTAACATTGCGAGAACGAAAAACAACACATATTTTTATTTTATCTATATCACAAAAAATTATCATTAAACAAATATTATTCACATCTGGATACTGTGCATATAAATTCATCACCGTACAAAAAACGAACAAGAGGAAATTATTAAAATGAACAAGAAGAATGAAAATAATGTAATGAATTTTTTTTCCGCGACAAAATAAATGAACGAACGTATTTACTGAAAACGAAGTTGTTCACAACAATGATTATATTTTTGTGCGTGATATGGTTTCGAATATTGTGTACGACAATTATGACCCCAATGACAATCTTCGCGTTCACGCATATTTGCCGGTTGAATATCAGCACGATTCATATTAAAACGAAATTGATATGCTAATTCTTTAAACATCTTTAAACCGCATTGATAGCAAACCACTTTTTCAGACGGAACTAAAAGAACAAAGCAACATTAAACTAAACATTGAATATATTGAAAGGATGATTTCTTTTAGACAAAAATCTCCATAACATCGGCTATCTATGATCGTCATAAAATGAGAAAAATCATTCTTGAAATCGTATTTCTAATTACCTGCAGAATTTGGATCAATACCAGTGCAATGAAACAATTTTTGATCTAAATTATCGCAACAACTGATAAATAAATCTTTTGTTGACATGTGATTTGATGCAATATATGTCTAAAACAAACGTGAAATAAACACAAATAAAAAAAAGCAGATTGTTACTCTTCGTCCTCAACACTGAGCAAAAATTTGAATAGATTTAAACCTATTCTTTACAAAATATTACACTTCTGGTGAGTATTCCTAATAAATGGAAGCGTAATAGCATATCAACCAGCTATTCAAATGAGTACTAGAAGAAAAAAACTTGACTTTACTTGTAAAATTTTTGTTTCAACTGGATTGTTATTAACAAGATCAGTAAGATGTTGTGGTGCAAAATTACAATCTAAAGAAAAACTAATCTTTAAAAGAAGAAAACATATTTACACTGTCTTACTTCGCAATTTATTCAAGCATCCATGACAATTGGCTCGATTGCATTTCCAATACATATTACAATAAGACTGATGACATATCGTACCTAAAAATATTTGGTAGGGAAAATTTTAAAAGGAAAGAAAGATTTCCTCCTCTATTATCCTCCTTTATTATAGGAAAAAGAGAGTAACAAAGACTCACATTGTTGATGAATATTTTGTTCTCCGCGCCTATCAGGCATTGGCTGAATACAACATTGACATAATATATGATTTTGTCCAGGTGCACATTGAAATGTAGCAGTTGCTGCTGCGGCTACAATGAAAAAAAACGTTTTTTTCGCCCAAAATGAAGTGTGAGTGTCAGACTTACCAGTAGGACCTTGAAGAATATTCGGTGCACATTGTCGACAACGAAATTGTGCTGGTGGTGCCTGATGCCTAACATAATACAAAACCTAGTATAGACTTTGATTAAGCCAAAAGAAACAAAGAACAAATTCTATTTACATCATATAAGGTGGAAAAACCGGATGGCCAACTGGCGCTGCAAGTCCCATATCATCATCATCATCATCTTCCTCCTCATCTTCATCCATATCATCTTCACGAAAAAATAAAAATAAAAATTTTAAAAAAAGCTTTCAACTCAAGTTTATAATATTTCAATCAAACTCATACCTTCATCGTCCATTCCCTCGTCATCTTCAAGCGAAAGAAAAAACGAGAATAGTAAAAACTACTCTGAACTAAAGATTTATCATTTTCTAATCAAAGTCATACCTTCATCATCCATTTCCTCATCATCTTCATCTTCTCGGCCGAAATGTGCATGATCCAAATAGAAACCATCGGAACCAACCTGAATATTCATTCATCCATACTGACTTTATTAATCCTTTCTTTTCCGTACTTTTGTTCTAAATTACTTACCTGATTATTTTTATTGTTGGAATCAATATTTTCAACTGGTTTTGGTTCAGGTCGTTTATGTGGAAATGATTTTAAATAAATTTCTATCATATTATTAACTAGAAAATTTTTCTTTTTCCCAATCACTTTTTGTCGACACTGCGGACCTAAACATAAAATTATTGGTAATATTTTCGCGTTAAGAACGTAGTTTTATCCTTTTCAACTCACATGTTCGTTGAATAGCCTCCCAAGATTGATAACAATCAGCGCAAAAGGTATGCAGACATGGTTCAAGACTAGAACGAAAAAGATTAAAATTTACCTAAATGGTGTCGTGATGTTATATTGATGGTCGTAGGCAATCCCATAAAAAGATTTCCCATTGCAGAATTACTTAACTAAATGGTATGGTCATCTCAAAACTGTGCTTAGACAATATTAGAGTCATACAGGTAAAATGTTGTTTCTTTCGATTTCTAACCTTAATGGATTTTGCATTATTTCTTGACAGCATGCACATGTTAAAACTTCTTCCATTTCCTCACCAGGAGCCATTGCAAATTCAGGACCATTTACTGGTTTTGGTTCAACATCATTACTTTTTTTCTCGTTATTTATTGCTGTTATTGTCGTCGTTGCTGGTACTAAAGCTGCTGGTTGAGGATCATTCTCTTTTATATCGTCTAAAATAACAGAAAATTTTATACGATAAACTTCATGTAGAATGTCTCATACCACTTTTTTGAGAAAAATATGGTATCGATGGATAAGAAGCATATTGAGTATCTAAAAAGAAGAGCCATGTAAATATTATGCTTTATGCTATAAAAAAAAAACATTTTTACCCGTTTGAGTTGGTGACTGAGAATTTTCACGTTTTGGTGTCTAAGATTGAAAAAAATACATTTAAGATGTTATTACAAGATTTATAATAAACATGAACTGAGACTATACGACTATTTGTAATAAATCCGACACATCTGTAAAATATCTTACATCGTTATTAGTAAGTTGTGTTATATTTAAACTGTCTCCATTCGAGGACGCTTCACCGGTATCAACTTGTAATATAACATCTATAACAAACAAGCGCGAACACGTTTTAAACATGTTGTGTAAAAATTATTGCAAATAACTTACTGAATTGTGGATCGTCTTTTCTATATACAATTTGAATACTATCACCAGACTTCACTCGAACACGCTACGAAAGAAAATCGAAAATTTATTGTGCCATTTCAATACGTATACAATCTACCTCATTTTTTGGTAACTTTCGATTTTTATTCAACAATGTGCCGTTTGTACTTAAATCTTTAACATATAATTGCCCATCCTCATACTCGAAGACACAATGTGTTGATGACAAGTAACGATTATTTGGAATTGAAAAATCGTTACCTAAAAATACATTGAATAGTTAATTAAATGATTTGTATACATGCGCCCAAAAATTATCCGTACAGCATGTAGTTTCGGAGTAAATGAATCATAACTTTTGTAACATCTAGTCCTGGCCACGAAAAATCGAATCTAACCGCCGAGTGTCCAATTTTTCGAAAAATGATATATCTCGGACATGGACAGGTCTAAGAACATTTTTTGAACATACTCATTGGAGAGAGCGAAACAAACTGAATAGAATACACTCATTTTAGAAATAAAATGGCAACTTTTTGTATGTTTTTCGAAATGTTCGGAATTAGTACATGCACAAGATTTTATTAATTTAGCTCTATCGCCTTAGCCTCTAATCCAAAAACTTTTTTTCTTGTGCAGAATTGTAGAAAAGAGTCGGCCCTTCAAAATGAGATCTTCTTCGACACTTTATCATATTTCCTTCGTTGAGAGATGTACGAGAAAAATTCGGTGACACAATACACTGTCTTGACACTTTTAGAAAAAAAATTATTTCTATGTTTTTCAGGCTTCGAATTTTCAGAACGTATCTGATATCATCTTGGAAAGCCTTTTTGTTTCTGGCATTCGATTTTGAACCGACTCTACGAGTATTTCGGTTATATCAGCACTGATGGCGTTCCACGGAGTCTTTCTCTATGAATTGCTTGCATCTTTTGAAGAAAATATGATCAAGTGTCGAAAAAGACCTCATTTTGAAGAGCGACCCTTTTCTACAATTCTACACAAGAAAAAAGTTTTTGGATTAGAGGCTAAGGAGATAGAGCCAAATTAATAAAATCTTGTGCATGTACTAATACAACGAACATTCTGAAAAACATGCAAAAAGTTGCCATTTTATTTCTAAAATGAGTGTATTCTATTCAGTTTGTTTCGCTCTCTCCAATGGATGTTCAAAAAAGTTCTGAGACTTCTGCATGTCCGAGATATTTCATTTTACGAAAAACTGGATACTCGGCGGTTAGATTCGACTTTTCGCGGCCAAGACTACATGCTTTGAGCAAATTTTTGTTTCTAGAATGTAGCTAAGAAAGCCAGTTATCGAACGCTATTAGCTGCATGCTTTCAAAATTTTTATTGAACGAGAAAAAACAAATATTCTCGGCTGTGAGGGTAATTTTTGACCACTAAAATAACCCAAATTTTAACTTTTGTGAAAAACTAAAACCACTTGGAATTTCAAACTGATTTCTGTGTACAGACACACTACACATGCTGAAGAATATGTTGGTGAAAAGTGTATGTCAAAATATTGCTTTCTTAAAAAGTTATGATACATTTATTACGAAACTACACGCTGTACGGATAATTTTCGGCGCCAGTGTAGTATGTGTTAAGAAAAATTACCGTTTGCACGTCCAACTTTGTATTGGTCTCTGGATACAGAAATGACACTGTGATCCGTTACGTTTATCAATCGATATAATGTGGCACTCATCTAAAACAAAACGATTGCAAATAGAAAAAGCAATCAAGTGTTGTACTCAAAATTTTACACCCGATTTCAACGTTTTTCCTGTTCTGGGAATGTATTGCATCACTTGTGTATTTATTATCCTTCTTCTATTCTTCCTAAACTAGAGTATTGTTTTGTCTTGTATGATAATTCATTTTCTCTTACTGTTCTTTATTCTGTAAACAAACTTGCTTCTCGTGTTATCTCTCGCAATTTTAACTACGGTTCTTCTGGCTCCTAACTGATGTCTCAACGGTCTCTTCCAAATCTGTCACTTCGTCGTAAATATTTTCGGGTGGTACAGTTTTTCAAGATTTATTATCGTCTTAGTCCTCTTTCTTTGTTTTATCATGTTCATCGTCCTTATTTTTCTTTTTTACGTTGTTATCATCTGAAATATGTTCATATTCCACCTCCGGTAAATGTTTTTTCTCCACAAACAATTTCTTCTTTCTTCTTTGATTCAACTGTCACTGACTGTAATACACGTCCAGAGTCAGTCATTCATTCTTCTTCTCTATTGTGATTTAAAATAGCTCTATCTCAGCATTTTTACAGTTGAAGGTAGCCATATTTACAGTTAAAAACAAATCCAGTCCTGTTACTCTTTAATTTGTTTTTTTCCTATTATTTTTTTCTTATCTCTCTGTTTTGTACATTAGCTTACTTCGTTTTTTATAATTTCTCTATTTATATTTTCTTCTGTTGTTGTTTGGCTCGAGTCAGTATTATTATAGGTCGGAGACCTTTGATGACTCTCACTTTTCGTGAATAAATACTGCTACTACTCCTGGAAACAGAGCGGACTAAAAATTCATTTCAAAATTGTAACTTTTATATTTATTACACAGTTCAGATTTTTCCTGCATCAAAAAGTGTCTGCAAGTGATCAGTGACAAAAGCCGTCTTAACTGAAAACGGTCGACTCCAACACCCACACATCGTTGATAGGTGCATGGAGTCAGATACCTGGATTTTATTTGCAACTAGTTAAGTGTTATATTACAAATCGAAAAATTCTATACTAAAAATGGAAGAACTTTAATAAGAAATTTGTGATGTGTTAATAACAACAAATATGAGCGAAAAAGAAACACTGATGATTAGCTGCTCCATTGAAACAATAAAAATTCTTCACTTAGTATGCGTTTATGCACTAACGAAAGCCAAGTAATTGATGAACTGAATAATCTTAAATCTCTCTTTTATTTTAGCCTTTTAGATTTTCGAGGGTGGATAGGTCAGGAAAATTGCAATTTCAAATTAAATTGTTGATTAATACGATCTCTTGCCAATCGAACTGCGGTGAACGTAAAAGAAAATTTTGTTAGCTTGAGTTGAAATGTATGTCGACTTCAGTTTCAACAAAAGTAAGATATAATTCTCTCACTCTTGAAATTAAATCCTTAGCTCTGTAATTTAAAGAGCGTAAACTAAATCTTTAATTGCTTTACCGAATAGTTTTAATCCGCTATTCTTCAGTAGGATTTTGAAAAACCGACGGTTTCCACCTGTTTTTAACTTCTCTGTGGTGCTAAACAACACCAAAAGAGTAATAAAAAAAGAAAAAAATAAATAAGACAACTAAGGTTAGAACTAGAAGTAGTAAAAATAATTTTTTAAAAAATAAGCAGAAAAGAACAAACATAAATGTAGGTAAAAAGCAGAAAGAAAGAAACGAACACGATTTTCTTAACTGACACATGTTTCACTGGAAGAGATACTGAAGTAAAGCTGTTTTGAAAGACATTAAACAAGAAAGACGAATAACTGACTCTGCGAGCTTATTCCAATCAACAATAGTTGAATAAAAAAAAGAAGAATGTACAACCCTTGACTCATCCTGTCGTTTCTTAATCTTAGGTTGAGGGTTGTTTCGGCGTAGTGGTGAGTGGCTATATACTGGGATCATCGTTGATTTTAAAAATGACTATTTTTAAAGCTCCCGTAGCACAAATTTTTTTCTTATGAGCTTTTGTTGTGACTTTTTCTGATGAAATTATTTGCTCTGTTCGCGTTTGCTTTTCTAGATAAAGATGTGATGTTTTTCAGGAGTGAATCACAGTTGCCTTGATTTCTGATATATATTATCGACTATAATTCAGGATGTTTTAATACGTCTCTTATTTTAGATGAGTTCACGTGCTATAATTCGATTGTGTGACGTAACAATCCGTAATTCAACAAATATAGCGGCATCGTCGACAACTATTTACCAAGTAGGCTGCTTTTATTCATGATCTAATACCAGGAAGATATTGAAGTTAACCTTGTCTTGTTTTAGTCACGTCGTTGGATAAGTTTACATGAATATCAAAGTAAAAAGATACTTAACGAGAATAATCTGAATGTACAACGTTTTCAAGTAGTTGATTCACCAGAAGATGCATTCAGAGCTGGACAGGAATTGAGTTAGTAAGATATATTCAGTCTGTGTTTGCATATCCATATTTCTGTCTTCTTCTTAGTGAAAACAATCGCTAAAGAATTAGTTATTAAAGCACAAATATTGGCTGGCGGACGTGGAAAAGGTACATTCGATAGTGGATTAAAGGGAGGAGTTAAGTTAACAAAGGAGTAAGTCTTTTTATTATGGTGGAAATGACCTTGAGGATATTTTTTTCGGTTATTAGTCCAAAAGAAGCTCAACAATATGTGAAACAAATGGTTAAACATCGTTTAGTAACAAAACAAACACCAAAAGAAGGAGTTGAAGTTCAAAAAGTAATCAGTTTTTTTTCTAAAAAGTTCTTTATTTTATCTGGTTTAATTTTTGAGTAAGGTTATGGTAGCCGAAGCCTTGGATATAGCACGTGAAACATATTTGGCTATCTTATTAGATCGTGCTTATGGTGGTGCTGTACTCATGGGTTCTCCTTGTGGAGGTGTTGATATTGAAGAAGTAGCTGAAAAAACTCCTGATCAAATTTATACGGTATATATTTGCTAACTTTTATAATATGCATAGTTTACTTGAAATTGATATGTTTCAGACTCCTATTGATCCTGTGCGTGGGATGCAGAAAGAACAAGCACACGATATGGCTGTTAAACTTGGTTTCAAAGGCAAATTAGCGAACGAGGTTGGTGTGATGCATGAAATATTTTAATTTATACAAAAATTATATAATTTACTTCTTTCGTTATTCGTTGTGTGAAGGCTGCCGAACAAATTCTCAAGTTATATAAATTATTCTTAAAATATGATTGTACACAAATAGAAATAAATCCTTTTGGCGAAACACCAGACGGACGCGGTAGAACACTTTTCATTTTTTTGTCACTTCGTTTATATGTGAAAAAAAAGTGGATAAAAGTTGTACTCACCAATGATTTTTACTTTCAGTGATTAATTTTGATGCTAAATTAAGTTTTGATGACAATGCAAAATTTCGACAACAAAATGTATTCGATATGGAAGATACAAGTGAAAGTGACCAACGTGAAGTGGAAGCGACACAAGCTGGATTAAATTACATTGGTCTTCATGGAAACATTGGTTGTTTGGGTATGTCAGATGCTGCTGTCAGACTATATTTAAGATGTCAGGAAACTGAATTTAAATCGTTTTTAAAATACTATCTACATAAAATTAACGATGGATGTCTTCTTTTTTTAGTTAATGGAGCCGGACTTGCCATGGGTAAGACTCGAAAATTGAGTTTTCTACTGAACTTTACATGTGAAATCTATGTGTTTTTATAGGAACTATGGATATAATAAAACTACATGGGGGACAGCCAGCCAATTTTCTTGATGTTGGAGGTTTGTATTTTTTATATTACAAACGAATTTTCTTAGTAATCATGTCATTTTTTTTATCTAGGTGGTGTTAAAGAAGAACAAGTGTTAGATGCATTTAAAATTTTATTTAACGACCCACAGGTTAGACAGAAAAAACTCTTACTCTGTTTTTCATAGCTACGATATCCCTAGCTAGAATTTGAAAAACAAAAACAGTACATTACCCACTACCGTTAGAAATTGTGAAAAGAGAATATTCATAATATTCATAATAGCTCATACAATTTTCGCTGTGTTACATTTATGAGTCACTAATCATTCTCGTGACTACGTAACTGATCCATTGCAATGTTTCTCATCTAGTTGTTACAAAGACATTTTATTTTAGTAAAAAGACATACTTCATTTATTGTAGGTCAAAGCTGTTCTCGTTAATATATTTGGCGGTATTGTCAATTGTGCTATTATCGCTAATGGAATTGTAAAGGCTTGTCAAAAATTAGGTTTAAAAATTCCATTAGTTGTTCGATTGCAAGGTATAATTAGTTGATTTCTCACAAAATTTTATTGTTCTAGTAATGTCTTTTCTATTTTTATAGGTACGAATATGGATGAGGCACGAAAAATTTTACAAAATAGTTCTTTACCGATAACAGCGGAGAATGATTTTGAACAGGCAGCTATAAAGGTTTGCTCAATGGCTCAGGGTAAATAATAACAGAGAAAAACATACGATTATATCATCTGTTAAAATACAGTGACTTCGATTTATGTTTCAGTTGTAGATTATTAAAATTTTTCGTTTTTTGCATAGAGATATGGTGCTTTTTTTTCTCGAAGAAATTGTAAGACATTTTTTTTCGTTTAATATTTTAAGTACTTGAACCTTGATCATACCGAGTTACTTTTATTGTCTAGTCGATATTTTTACAACCTTCCTATTCTATTTCTTTCTTTCTCTTCTTGAACATCAACAATATTGTATATTCTATTTATCACTTTTTACAATAAATTATTATTCGTTTGTTTCACAATACCCTTTATTTGTTTGAAAATAAGATATATTTTTGTTAATACAACAAATATATTTTATAAAAAGATAAAATTTTTCGTGGATATTCATGAATAATTTTTAGCAATCTGATTTTCTTAATCAGCAATTGTTTTTAAAACATGATAATAGAGAACTAGCAAATAACGGAATATTTCTTTTCGCGCATGCATATTTTTCTGTTCTCTTTCTTTTCTATCAACTCACTGAGACGAAAAAATGTCCACACATGGAATATCTTATGTAGAAAGAGATATCTTATTTGCTAGATTCCAATTAATATGTTCATTTCTCTCGACTATTCATTCTACTATTCATTTCCCCGATAACTATCTTGACATCATTGATTTTGATTATCCGTTCCATCTTGTTAATTTGCATTCTCGATCAAAGACTTAATGAATGACGTTTTGAATAATATTTGAAATGGGGTTTATCATTAAAGTTGTTTTTATGTGGTTAATATCTACAATAGACTTAAAATAATTTCCTAGTAACCTCAAGCTATTTTTATATTATCTTTCGATTCTATCTCAATGATTAACGTTGAGAAGTCGCTATTACACGTCTAATATGTATTATTTAATGGCAAAACATACAACTATCGAAATACAGTTGTCATAAGTTTCTTATAACCGTAGGCATTTATCTTAAAATAGCTATTAGATTATCGGTAACTGTCTACAACACAACTTTTTCTTCCTAATAACAATGTTAAAAAATTCAAATAACTATCATTATCTATGTGAAATATTTAACGACAAAGAACTTCACTATCTCCCACTGAATACTGGCAGTTTCCATCAACTTCTCAGATGTCTAGCTTAACATAGTCGATATTATTTGTACATTGAAAATCCAAACCAAAAATCCAATCAAGAAACATAAATCAATACTTATCGAAAAGAGATGTTTGTCGATGTTAAATAATTATTTTTCTAATTAAACTCTATCCATTGGTTTCTATATTGTTTTTTTTTTGTCTATAAACATACACAACTGATACTGGAAAAATCACTTTTCTTATTTTTTTAGTTTTTTTTCAAAAAAGAATCAAATTATCAAGTATAACAGTGATAGTTTATTCATATGCAAAAATTATATTCACATTGATCATAATGTTGCACAATACTCAACTTAACATATCGAGTATTATTACGGAATTTAATTTCAAAGAATATTTTTTTGTATTTATAGATTTTGTTCCGATAATATTCCTATTAATCAATATCATTTTTGTGAAATAGTCAAACAACATACACAGGCACAATTCAAAAGTTATGTTTTTTAATTCATCAAACGTGTAAAATAAACATACCGTGTTACAAACGCCTTTCGAAGTACGTGCACTGAATCATCTACAATGAGCGATTTGAAATCGATAAAACAAAATTTTTAATAAAATAACAAATAATCAAACAAAGAGTTCATAAATTATTTGTCAAATAGCTTGGATGGCCAGTATTCTATAGACTTTCTTCAGATTGTGTACGGCGAATCGCTTTTATACACTTCAATCAGGAGTGTATAACATTAAAGATTGAAATTCGTTCAAATTTGTTTTCTATACTCTTCATGTTTTTTATACAAAAACTGAATAATCTGATGCTCAATTTCACAGTTATTATCCGGTCGTTTAATTGTTGTACATTTTTTTCCTTCTTCATCGTAAATATCAACCATTGTCTCTCTCGTATCCAATAAATTTCCAATGACCATATTGTGACCATATTTTTTTAATGATTTTATACATTTATCTTGTAGAAGTTGTTTATTTGTTTCTAATTTAAATGATACAACATAAGCATCGGGTGACCAGTGTTGTTTAACATCGCCTAATACTTTTTTAACTGGTTTCAATCGTAGTACTAGTTCATTCTGCTCACTGGATATTTTATGTTCAGGTAGTTCATCTAATGGTAAATAATAATCGGATACAGCCGCACATAGATAAATCATTGCTAATTTACGGTACGGATTCAATACCTTACATAATAATTCTAGTCCATCTAAATATTCTGTCACAGTTTTGAATGATATCGATAATAAATTATTTTTATAGCTTTTATATTGTTCAATTGTTTTCGTTAACTGTTCACTATGACTAGTAGATAGTAATATGTCAAAAACATTGTGTATATGACGGTCAAAAGGTTGAATTGAACCTGCACGATAATAAAAAATAACACTATAGTTTAATTCAAGAAAATATTCGACTGATGCTGCACCACGTCTTCCAGTACTAAAATTATCAATAAAACGAACAGTATTCTTTTCTAATGGAACTAATGTACCACCAGACGTAACGAGAACGATTGGACTGTTTACTTTCTAAAAGAGTACGTACTCCATTATAGTGATCCCTATTTTAGAAACTTTGTTTTTCATACTTGACATTGTGTGAGAAATGTTTCAACGCTGTTGAAGTTTGAATCAGCCTTCGTATTCATCATTAATTTTCAAATATCTATAGATAAATTAAATAGTCAGTATTAACATAGAGTTTTTGAGAACTTCTTTTCACTCAGAGATTTCAAGAGAACCTGCCTATTTTTAATGAATTTCTTAGTGGATGTTAGTCATATCAAAGTATGTTTACATTAAACTTTGAGCTGAAAATAGCGAATTTTTTTAGACTTAACCCAGATACAAGGATGAAAAAGTAGGTCTTGTCATTTATAAAATTGTACCGAAAGTATTTTACGCCCTAGTAACCCCAGATTGATCTTAGAAAACTCAGCGCTATGATAAAGCAAAGAATGATCGTCGAAACTTTGTTTCTCAACGTTTCTCTGATATTCTATCGGGGAAATTCCCCCAACCATAGGTTCGTTCTATGGAAATCCTTTTTTTCTCAAAGACTGAGAAGGTAGTCAGAAATTGAGCGCTGTCACATCATGACGATGAATTTCTTTTCAATTTAAGACCAATCTAAGCCGTCTAGGTTTAAAAGAGAGAAGTCTTGTAAGTGACGACAGCTCTAAATCAGAAAAGTGAGGTTAAAAAAATCCAAAACACTTTTTTCAAAAAAATTATATTTCTTGAGAAACTAGATCTGAAAATAATTTATATATATATACTTTGGTGATTTTCGATCTTGCTGGATCCGATGCACATTTAAGCAGCGGATGCCCTCGCCTGTACAGGCATTTTCTCCTAAAATTACAACTTTGTTAACTAATATGACTGTTGTTTATGACTTTCAGAAAACTTCCTACAAAATCCCGAAAAGGTATTTTTGGAGCAGAAAAATTAGCATAATCGGAAGAGAAGCTAGAGCGTTGAGTAACTACATCATGTATTTATCTCAAAGTTAACTTTTTGGACGAAAATCAACTTTCTGGACAGGGGTGGGGTTCTAGAAGCAATTCTGTATACTGACGTTATTTTTTTCGATATTTTTTGCTCTCTTATTATTTCACCATAGTACCTGTGATGCCTCCTGGTCGTGAAGGCTCTTGCTATACAAAATGTAGAATTATGAAGTTTAACAGTTGTATTTGTCTTTATTAAACAGAAAACGAAAAAATAATAATAGCCGAAATTTTAAGCACTAACAAGCACACTAAAGACTATATAAAATGAAAAATATTTAGGAAAAAAACTTGAACTCGAAATGTGTGCTCGATGCGAAGTGCTTGATGCAAAAGTACGATACCACTGAGAAGTTATCAGGCGTGAACACAACAACCGTGGTTGTTAATCTCTTCTCGCTTCTGTTTAATCATCACTGCTTGATTCAGACGAATTGATAGACCAACAACTATATTGCTAGTTGTCTTAAGGACAGTAAATATTAGATTCGAATAAACTCAATATTAACATTTGGATTTGGTTGGACGACAGCATTTGCTGCATCCTGATTTGTTTTACTCGTATTGTTGTCTATCACCGAAGCTGACGAATTACGATTTTTATCATTCGTTTGTTGTTTCTCTGTTTCAGCACGTCTTCTTTCCATAGCACGCTTTTTCTTCGCTTTTTTATTTTGTGCCCCCGTTTGCCTATTACTATTGACATTTGATTTTTTGGATACGGATGATGAAAATGTCGGTGTTTCATCCTGTATGTCATTGTACTCACTGTCATCGGTTTTTGTAACAGCGTTGTCAACTGCCAACGCTGATAATGATCCAATAGTTAAATTAACATCTGAATTATTAGCCCTATACGACTGTTCTACCAAATCAATATCGTACACTCCTGTTATAGACATAATTCGTTGTAATTTTTCGGCACATGTGTTCGATGTGAGATTGTCGGTAGTTGTTATTGCTAGAAGATAAGCTATAGTTGAATCAATATCCCCGCTAAAATCTGATAATGTGTGATGTATTAGATTTTTATCGTTCGTATTTGTTTGTGATATTATATACGATATATCATGTTCATCAATTAAATATTCGTTTGATGCTTCTTCCTTCTTAGACTTATTTGAAAAAGATGTGCAATTTGAAGTTGTTGCCGATTTAGTAGTAGTAACTGGTTGTAAACGAACATCGGCTGTCGCTACTGTCAAATCACCTATTTTTCTTACACTAAATAATAAAAACAGAGGTACCGAATCAGGGTTTCCGATTGTTTTTGGTCAGATTGAGGAAATTTTTCTGGCAGATAATCATTTTTAAAAAGTCGATGGGGGGGGAGGAGGTTTCTAAGCAAGTGAAACATTTGTTAAAGCAAAGAACTTTTGTTACTTCGCATCAGAACTTATTTTTTCAACGAAACACGTCACGGTACGCTTGGGTTTTCTCGTTGCTACATTTTTCTTGCTACATTAATTACAGAATCCAAGTTTAAAAGACTGCCTAGCAATTATTTTGTCAGGTAGCTTATTGGTTGTTGAATGTCCTAAAGTAACTACTGCCAATAGCTGTCAGTCTCTTACAGTCTGTCAGGTCAAACACCTGCAAGATAATCGTGATGTTTGTTACACTCACAAAAAAGGTTTGACAAATTTTTGCTAGACTAAAAATTCCAGAAATCTGAAGAACAGTGTAAGAATTTAGGATAGGAAGTTCTCTGCTTACCCACCCGAGTCGAAACTAACAATCAATTAATGATGAGAATGCTTTACCTGGAATAATGCTCGAAGTTATGATAGGAGATGTGAAGTTCATATTCAGGTTTATTTGAAAAGCATACGACCCATATTGGTTGGTGTAATTGATGTACACATATTTTGGCATTGTATAACTGCGCAAATGCAACAATCGACTCGTTTCCAGCATACGTGCCCTCTTCAGCAAGTGATTTCAAGAAGACATCAAATGGTTGATCGACAATAAATGGTTGATAATCTTCTTGATTTTTCAATATATAATCACATACTTGTTTTCGATACAATGCATGGTTTCGCGCATCGCCATCCATCTGATCAGCAACTAAAGAAAAAAAATTATTTTAGATTTTCGACTTATGTTTGGTTTATTAGCTATGTTCCTTCAAGCTAGTCGAACGGTTTGTTCAGAAATAGAACACGAAGATTTATATAGTTTACTAAAATATTTACGGAACAAATATTTAATTTGAACTTACAACTTCTAAATAAACAGTTTCCATCACCAGCAATATCACGTAATTCTAATCCAATTGTTCGTAATTGAGCACGAAATCTATCCGCATTTTCATCATAGTTCAAATATCGTTTAGAATTAGGTTTTATCTTTTTTTGACAATGAGTTTCTCTTTCATGATATTTATTTCTATTATTTATGTTGTGTTTTTGTGCACGAGGAGCATGTTTTGAATACATTGTTAATTAACTAATCAAAAAAGTAAATGATAACAAAACAACATAAGGAAAAATCTAAAACTATACAATAGTGATTAGAGATAGAAGCGAGTATGTTTAAGTCATCATCTTACTTGCTGGACGAAAAAAAATTATGCAATTACAATAAATAGTGTGTTCTGTTTCTTATTCTTCTTTCTTTCAACGTCAAATTATTTCAACATAAGAACGAAATTTTAGTTCGAAAATTACACTCATAGAAGAACGCTAATGCATTCTATTACAATCTCACTACCGCAGGAATCTTAACAGTTGAGAAGCGCTTGTCTCTGTAATCGTTTTTAGTAGTATTTTCTCAAAATTTTTCCAAAAAAAAGGCATCAATACTTATAACAGTGTATGCATTGGCCTCTTTCTGGCACACCACGTGCACCCGTGAGACAACACACTTATATTTGACTATTTATACTACATTGTCTTTTGCTCACTTTCTTCTACTGATGTAAACCAGAAATTAAAAAAAATAAATTACTTCATAAAACACGCAGATAAACAATGATTACTCAACAATTAAAAAGCAATGGCAAATGGTTAGAGAGGAATGTTAAGAAATGTAAATTATGGTTGAAACCAGAATTGACAAAGATTAAAACAAACAAGAAAATATCTTTCGATGAAATTTCTGAAAATTTTTTAGAATTTTCTTCAAAAATAAGCAGATTACCAGGAATTTTAGAAAAAACCGGAAGGATCTCATTCGTGAATATTTTTTTCTGGAGGCAGGTGTCTATAAAAAAAATTAATTTTAGAATGTAATTAATACAGAATTGTGTTAGTTTTTATTACGACGAATCTTTAACTAATAGACCAATATGTTATGATTCTAGTGAACATGCTTTTACAATATAAATATGTACTATATCTAGACGGTATAAATCTAAAGAATGTGTTTATTTGAAAAAACCTGATTAAAAAAAGTGTATTTCAAACCAATTTAAATAGAAAAAAATACAGTTTTGTATACTATTTCATACTGCATGATTTTTTAACCTAAACATCAAGTTTGACTGAAATACACTCGGAAGTTTTTTATCTACGCCTATTCTCAAACTGTTTAACTTATTTATTCAGATTAATATACTAAAATTTGTTTACAGTAATATTCTCGGCCTATTATATCGGTTTTATCTGATATAACTGATAAATAATAAGGATAGACAATGATGGCGATTTTGATTGAAGTACGACAATTTTTTCACCATTTTGTTTAATGTGTTTCGATGTTAACGTGACTATTATCGAATTACTTTTGAAACGTTCCCGTACCGCAACAAAACCAGATGCATTTATTGCTCATCCATTAACGACTGGTGCAGCAGTACTTTGTACCCCAAACTGAGCTTCCTGACATTTTGCTCGTTTTGTCACTTGATTGTCTTAAACCTGATTAAAGTTTTGCTAAAAAAGAAAAAGATGACAGAAAAATATTGTCCATCGGTTGTCGCTTTGGGGTTTACACGAACGTGTTGGCGGCACCAGATTGTCTGTAGTTGCTGTGGGTAATTTTTGTTGAATAATTTTATTTTGTATTGTAGGACGGCTGTAACGAACGCTACTTGTATTGCACACCTCACAGGACTCGTGCGAATGCGAGAATAGATGGAAAGATGAGAGATTGAATGATTTTTTGTGAAGGTGAAGAAAGAAGTAAATGACGGATCGACATGAGAACGCAAAAGTACAAAATCATCTGTTATCGAATCTCAGTCGCACGTTACCGCAAGAGGATCAGTTAGAAACGAGTCCTCGATGACAGTGTGAACCTTCGGCAATATGTCAGGTGCGTGTTACACATCTGATGATAAAAACTGGTGTAACATCCATTTGAACATACTGACATTGGTCACCACGTTGACATCAATGACTTTCGTGATCATATCGGATCATTTGTTACACGGGTGCTCATAGAGACTATATTATCAATCAGAGTTTCAAAAGTCGGCATGTATGTCTATTTATAGAATGAACAACGAATCCATCGCTTATCGCACAAAGTTACCGAGCTCTCACTTGAAGTCGATGACTAATGGCCGATTGGTTCGCTCGATTTGCTCCCGATCCTCATCAATCTCTAGCATCTCGTTGAAGTCTCGCTGAAAATGGACTTTGACCACGACTCCCTTGGGAACACGATAGCCAACATCGACACTCTTCTTGAACAAGCATGCAACATTCGCTCACTCAAAATGATCTCGGAGGTATACAATACGTATGGAAAATCTGTGATTGATGGTATCTCGTCATGTCGAAATGAAACTTATCCTCTACTGACTCTTACACCTGTCGACTGTCTATCCAATCGATCCGAGGGCTGTCAAATTATCATTATCCAGTATAATGATGAATTTCACACTGTGACTACACTCTAAATGCCAAAATCTTCAGAATTTCAGAATTTCTAGAAATTCACACTGTGAATAAACTCTGAATTTCAAAATGTTTAGAATTTCAGGAATTTCCGAAGAATCCCAGAACTGCTAGAATCATGACGTCGTATGGAAAATATTCGCCGAGAAAATAATTCCCAGCTTGTTGTTAGCACGCGGCACTTCGTATCTTGGCTCACACCCGTCTTCCCTACCTCCCTCCCCCACCCGTGTCCTATTATCGTGTTCTTAGCCTGGAATGCTGATGTTCCGTAGCTCTAGAAATCCTCACACTCTTGAGATCATGAAATTCTGAAATTCTCACCGTCTAGATTATGAAATTCTGGAATTCTAACTGTGCAGGTAATGAAATTCTGAAATTCTAGAAATTCTGAAATTCGGACGATGTAGAGATTCTGAAATTCTGAAATTCAAACAGTGCGGAGATTCTGACATTCTCAAATTCTAACGCTGTAGAGATTCTGAAATTCTAGAAATTCTGAAATTCTGACTGGAGATCCTTATACTATATAATGATAATTTGACAGCTCTGGTATTTTGTTGGCCGTTCATAGAGAGCGAATGTGTCTTACCAGAACAAGTCTTTGTCTTCACATCCCTCCAGTGACGCTAGTTCATCATATTCTGGATCAAATGGGATCAGAAGACGATTCCTTTGTCTTTTCATCTCGGTCGATATGACTTCCATTTCACGTTAATCTTGAATAAGAAATAACAATGATTGAGATTATTGATTGACGAATCTTCAAAAAATGAAGATGGTTGTCGTTTTTTCGTCTTTGCACGAGCTTTCGTGGGATTCCTGCTCCAAAGCCAAATCCATTGCAATAGTATCATTTTATATAGCTTCGAAAGGGCTATTGAATGAGGCGTATACATTTAAACGTCTTTCCTTTTGTCAAGAAGAGTTTGCATTCAAACAGGGACATTAAAAAGATTTTCAAAATGAGCGTTTAAATGACAACAAAAATTCTATAGCGATGACCCATCGACAAAATTTATATCGTAAATTAAAAAGAATATGTTTACGTAGTAAACAAAAAGGTTCATTCTTTGAATTCAAACTATTTTTATTATGTACATGCGAGATAGAAATACTTTATTATCGTTGTAAATACACTAAAATAGAAATTGTCTATTTTTTGTCTATACTTTATATAGTTTAATTTATAGTTCTAAATTTTTCAATATCACTATCCAATTCAGCTAAATGAGCTTCAAGTTCTCTTGGCAGTTTAGAATATATTATCGACTCATCGTCACTTGAACAAGATGTTATAAATGGAAGTGGTCGTAAATGATCATATGGATTCCAAGATAGTAATGAATAATGAGTGCTGTTATTCGCCTCCTTCTCGACATTTTCATCAGCACTATTGACTGCATCCAGTGCATCATTAATTATTAGTGATGATGATGATGATGATGATGACTGTATCGTTTTTGATGTACTGCTATCACAGCTTGAAGAATATTGCAAAGCAACAGAGAGTGATAGTTCGGATGAATCTTGGATGGAAGGAGTTTCATTACTTGAACTTTCTTCTTCAATTTCTTCATACTTCATTAGATCATATTTACTTTTAACCCTGGTACACGTTGTTGAAGGTCGTATGTCATTTGAGATTGCTTCAGGTGAATGAAACGAACTGAAATATATATAACATAAAGTATTTTTGATATTTTACAAAAATAGATTAATATTACTCGTCATTACGTTGATACAAAAAAGTTGATGCTAATTGTACCGCTAATGGTAAAAATGCAAGAGTAGTATTTTTGGGTATCGAAGTTATGTCTTCTATTCGACGTTCCAAACGATGAAGTTGAATATCGAGCTTTGAAAAAAATTTGAAAAAAAAAAACAATTTATCATTTTGAAATAAATTAAATTTTGATTTTTTTACTTGAGTGAGTTCAGTTTTTAATTCTCTATTTTGAATTTGAGCATAACGATATTCTTCAAAATAATTGGCACCAAGTGCAAATCGCCGTGTACGTGCTTCCATTACTAAATCATTTGATACAATTTCATTTTGTAGATTTCGTTTATTTTTAATTTTGTATATCTTTAACACATACATACTTTATATAAATATAGATGATTTAATTTAATAAACAAACTAAACTACTAACCTTTGGTAAAAATACTATACATAAAATTAATGTCGTTGCAATTATAAGTGATATTGAAATACAAACATAGACTAATTGACGATTTAAACTACGTGTAAATTCAAGCATAATAACAGCAAATACACTTGTTATTAAAACGATATAAATTGACCAACCAATATAACGGGAATCATTTAATGCTGTTATATGAACATGTTTTGTTTTAAATGCTAAATAACCACCAAAAAATAAAAATATTGATTTGTATATATAAATAAAAGTGAATATTTCACGACGATAATTTGATTCACAGTATTGAATTTCATTGACAATAATCGTATCAACATCCAACATTCCACCCTAAATAAATGACACATTACAATTCATTATTTTATTAATATATCTCATATTATACGTCTTCAGTTGATTTCTGAGTGATAAATGGATTGAATATTTGCCATAATAGACAGAAAACAAAATCTATAAAATATAATATTAAAGATATCAACACGAGATGTCGATCTTGTAATAGCTAAATAAATATATCCATTGGTTAGGAAATTAATTGTCAAATAAACTCTATGAGATATACAAATTACTTTTGAATGCAATAATGGTTGATCAGTTGAAGTAAATATTCGATAAACACGAAGAGTCTTTAAAAACATTGAACCAAATTTTAATGAAAAACCACTAGTAAATAAAAATGTTTGAAACTAAAAAATAGTAAAAAATACAATTCGAAAGTTGACATTGAAATCTTGACGAGTTATCTATTAAGTAAGAAATTGTGTTGAATTTAAGAATGAATATGCTAAATATATATCGGTATAACGCACCATGCAAGCGTACCCAAGTAGTTTTCTCTCTATGAACCATTGTTCAATTCCTAGTAATAAAATTGCCAAATAAATATGAATACATCCGATAACAAGTACATTATTTAAATTTGGACTAGATAATTTGATATATCTATAATATTCATAAAATTTATTTTAATTATTATAAATTTTGTATTTATAAATTGTTTTCTTTTACCTTTCATGTCGATATTTTAAGGTAAATGATACAAAAAAGATTGATAAAATTATACCACCAAGTGAACCAGATACAATAACAATCATTTGAATTGAACTCAATTGTTGTTTTCTATATTTAATAATTTCTTGATCAATCGGCATTTTATCTTGACAAAAAAATATATTTAAAATATTTAAAATTTAAATAAAAAATATTTTAATAATTTCATACCATGCCAAATTAATTTACTACATTCTCGACAATGAAAGTTAAGCATATTTATTTCATCACTATATTCGGCTATACGTTTAATTGTACCATTTTGTAATTGTGATATTAATGTCTGAGCTTTCCGATTTTGATCTTGAAACGATATTGGACCCTTTAAACAAAAATAAAATAAAAAAACAAATCCATAAATATATTTAGTGAGGATAATGTTGACGAATACTTTACCGAAACGCCATTAAAATTGAGTGTATGCAAAATTGTTAAAAATAAATTGGTTATTATTTTATTGTGATAATTAAATTGTTCTAGAGGAATACTAAAATAAATTATAAAATATTTTTTAAAAAAAAACATAAAATCTGAATAAATATTACACATACCTTTGTTCAATTGACTTTTTAATGATGTAAGCAACAGTCCAAACAGTATCGTACGCTTGAGTTATGTACTGATTAGGTCGATTATGATTCATTGAATTATTATCAATTTTTGCTAATCGTTCATAGAATTGAGCAGTTGTCTAGAATAAGAAATATGAGATAATATTTATTCATTTTTAGAAAATTAATCCTATGTTTCATACAATATTAGCAATTGTTATTGTAGAATTTTCAAATATTTCATGTAAACTATCAATAATAAAGTGTCCATCTGCTGTTTGAAGTATTTGATCTCTTGTACAAGATATATTCGATTCTTTTAATGTAAATTTATTCCACCAATATTGATCTTCACCAGTCAATATCCAAACATAACGATTTCTTAATGTTTTATCAATTGTTCGATAAATCTAGAATTACACAAAATAAATTTCTATAAATTGATTCACTATAACTTTTATAATGTGTTATATGTTTACTTGACAAAAAAATGTTGCCTTATATTCAGCATCAAAACTAGCAAAAATGACACGAGCTTTTTTTGCCTGAAATATAAAATAAAAATGGTATATGTATATATATATATATATATATATATGAGAAATAAATCTCTTACTTGTAATGTACGTAAACCCTCAGTTAAATTTGACATTGATACACTTTGCACTATGATTACGGTAATATTTGAAGAATTTAAACGTTTTGATAATTCAGCCATAGTCTAGTCAGTTATAGAAAAAGAGTTTTTTGTTTTTATTGTTGTTATTCAATTTATAATGAATATATTAAATTTGAAAACTTACCAATGAATGTGCTATCGAATCTTGATGAATTATTGCTACATTAAACCAATTATGTTGTTTTAAAAATTCTATTCTATCATCATTATGTAATTCGTCACCGATGGCTAAACGTACTAACATCGGATATGAACTATGAGATTCTTTTGTTTGTGTAATGAATGATACAGAATGTGAAAACTAGAAATATTAATAAATAAAATTTTGTTTTCAAGTGAGTTTAGTTCCATAAAACGTTTTTTATTTTCTTAGTATGCTCTTATTGTTCTAACAGGAAATGATTATTAAATGAAATGTCATATAAATAGGATCAAACTAAGAAAATTTTGATAACATTTCTTGCTTCTTGTAGAAAAAAAGTTATATTCATCGAGAAATTTTATATTAAAAATATTATTGATTTTTATTAAACCTACTAAAATAATATTGTAATATTCAGCAACTTCAGCTATTGACTTTGTAACATTCCATTGTTGAGTACCAATTAGAAATAATAATTGTGGTTGACGAAATACCGCATGAAAAAAGGCGTCTGTTGCTACAGCGGGATTAAACTAAAAAATAACAATTATAGTTTTGTAGTTACAAAATAATCGAAGAAGTGCTTGTTTTTACTATTATCATATCCGATACTTCGTATTATATCTCGTACAAATAAGTGTCTTTTTTGTATTAAAATTGAACCAATTAGAAAAGAATACAAGGAGAACGGAAACATGTCGTCTGTTCGACGATAAAACATAATTAGCTTTGTTATTTTCAAAGGAAATTGTTTTATACATGTTCTTAACGTTATTTCCTCATGGTGAAAGATAGAGACTCGAACAAAACAAAATTCTCACGTAGAATTAACTCACTTTCGTCTCATTTTTGAGTAATTGAAGTTTATAGTTTGATATGAAGCCTGACTCATTAACATCTTCAATTGCCATTTGTGCAGCGTGTAATTCACGAACAGAATTTGTGTCTAAATCGAAAAATCCACCGATATTTAAATAGATGTACGGTTCATTTGTACTGATAAATATTTGTTGTTGGGTTGTACTGATACTGCTCATTTCCTCTGTTGAATAAGAACTGTTATAAAAATCAACTCTTGAATAGACGAAATTAGAAATGAATTGAACAATAATAATACTAATTCGTAATATAAACCATTTGTTGCTAATAAAGATGACCATTGATTATTTAACATATATTGGTTGAAGAGAGACATTGATTGAGTTAATTGATCTAAAAAATAAAAAGAAAGTAATAATTAACACTGCAGAGCAGAGTTCTAACCGGTCTAAAAATAAGAGGCCGGATCAGGCCAGCTGGTCCAAAACAGTGAAACGAACTAGACCAGTCGGTCCAGAAATCGGTTTAGACTGGTGAAAAACCTACAAAAGATCTGAATTTTTTCAAAAAAAAATTTGAAAATACTAGAAGGGGCTTAAATTTAGAAAATCGATTCGCCTTTGCATGGGCAAAAATAATTAGGAGAGCGTTTTTTGAAATTTATTTCAGTTGCAGAAAAAATTCATTTTTTCTAAATCAGAGTGAAAAAGCCAGAATTTTGCTCGTGGTTCTCAATTTTCTCCCTCAGAACTCAACTTTTAAGCAATAAAAATATCATATTCAGAATCAGGATCAAAACTGAGTCGACTGATGTGTGTTTTGAAAATTTTACTTGATTTTCATTTTTTGGTGAAAATCTCGATAATTTTTCAACGTGAAATTCGACAAAAACTAAAGTAGTGGAACAAGATAGAAATACACATTAGTCGACTTAGTTTTTGATCCTGATTCTGCATAAAAGTTGAGCTCTGTTGTAGAAAACTAAGAATTACGACCAGAATGCTGACTTTTTCGCTCTGATTTTGAGAAAATCAAAACCCGGTGTTTTTAAAGTTAAAACCTAGTTATTCTTAATCAGCTCGTCGAGCTCTATCGAATGATGTATGAATAAGACGAAAATAAAATAGTGATCGAATTTCGAATTAGGGGCACCTCATATAAACAGCACAATTTCAGTCAGTATAAACTTAGAAAATAAATTCAGATATTTCTACTGAGTTGAACAAATTTAGTAGTCATGCATGCAACAATACATACAGAATAAAGACAAGTGGAATAATCCTAGTGAAAAACTTACTCGAATCTTACTAAGACCTTAGAAAAATCTTGTTAAGATATTAGTAAGATTTCGCTTACATTTGTCTAGGATCTTAAACAAATCTTACTAAGGTCGTGAGACCGGAAAATTCTAAGATTTTATACGATTTTTCTAAGATCTTACTAAGATTATACTGTCTGAGACTTTTTCAAGATTGGATAAAAAAGTGTTAGAATCTTAATAGTAAGAACAATAACGTTTTTTAAATAATATTCATTCGAAATTCACTGAAAATTTAGCAAAACAACCGTAGCAAAACAAAGGAGTGAATGAAAATAGAGTCATTAAATCTTATTAAGATCTTGAACGATAAGATCTTAGATTATCTTATCAAAATCTTAAAGGATAAGATCTTATTAGATCTTAGTAAGATAATTTTAAGAAGTGTCTAAGATTTTTACTAGGGAAGTACTTGGCTGAAGTTTAAATAAATTTACTTGCATTGAACCAGTCAAGTACTTAGACACGTACTTACAAATAAATTTATCTCTGAAAAAAGGCAAGTATCGGCTTCATTACGCAAGCTAAGTACTATACAATAGTTAATCTATAAACTTTGCATGAATAATCTTCAAACGCTGTAGAGTATTTGATGGAACTGTAAAGCTAAAATTATGTTTTTATGTCCAGTTATGAGGTTTTTTGAAAGTTTCTCGAATTTCAAAATTGACCAAGCAACCCAAGACAACTGTATCTCGGTAATCATTATTAGTCAACATATTACCATTAATAGAGGAAATTCAGAACCACATTTTGGTGCAAAGCCAAAGTGCTCCTCATCCTTGGATCGGAAATTATTAACATTTTACTGAAAAGAAAATGATATGATGATGACTTATATAACAGTACTCTATACGTATCTATCCAGGTACAGATAAGATGCTTGTCCGACTTCTAAATTGTGCAAAAATAGAAAAACCAGAACACAGTCTTTTAAGATCCCATAAGAATTGAATAAAATTTGGATATGAAGTTTAGTGACCAATCTTACTGATTTCTTAGGAACTTATGAAATTTTAATAAGATTTTTATGCGATCCTCAAGGAATTCTAAAATTTTCTTAGTAAATCTTGTATAAAGAGTTAATCAGTGTCGGATAAGATTCTTACCTTGATTTATGAAATTTTTTTGTGTCTGAAGTGACTGTTCAGCATTTAGTAAGAGCTATAGGTATATAAAATTTAAATTAGCTACTATGGTTGTTGAGATCATTCATTTGTTATTGAGACATAGACGACCATACGTTTATAAAGTATAGTAAGTCATTATCTAATAAGAAAAATCGCGAACTCTGGCAAAGCGTTGTGCAAATGACTTTACCGGTTTTAAATATTTTTGTTGTTGTTGTTGTTATTGTTATTATTGTCTTAAAATTTCATGTTAAATGTGTGCGTGTCAGTTGCTGTTCAGATAGAATAAAAAAATGAGCACTTATGTTCAAAAGTTTGTTTTTCAATAAGAAATGTTCTTTTTTCCTTTTATGTTCTATCATGCTATATTAGTAGTAGACTTATTGAACAATGAAGTATTAAGAGGAAAAAAAACAGGTTTTCTCTTCTTGGTTTCAAACGATTGCCGATAATTTAATTTAATTTTTCATATTTCCTATAATTATTTGTCAGTCAGCATCCAGGGTGTGATGATTAATCATATAACCACATCTAAGACGACATATATATATATATATATATATATATGGTAGATACGTTGAAGTACATAAAAACACAAAACACAGAAAAGAGAATACGAGAAACCGTCATAAACATTTCTCTCTTTCATGATTAATAATATAAATATCTATCTCTATATATTTATATTTATCGTTATTTAAACATCCTTTTCATCTTACGTAAAAATATAATCATATTTTCTTTAAGATCCTTTGCTTTTAAATGTGGTTGACATACATTCAAAAAAATCACAATGCACAACTTTGCAATCGAGCTAGAAAATGAAATTAAAAAAACTTTCTTTTTGGCTGAAACATAAAAGGTAGTAAAAACCAAATGAATTCTGTGTTTGAAGTTGGGCGCTTGATAATCATATTAAAAGAGACATATCTAAAGCAGTGATGGCACCATAATTTTCGCAGGGCGAGAGGCAAATGAGCCGTGTCTCGAAAATCTTGTTAATATAACTTAGTAAAACTTCCTGAATCAAGATCTGGACTTCTTGGACTTTTTAAGTAAATTCTTAGTGAAAAAACGTAAGAAGTTAAAGGAATTTTAAGAGCCTTAGATGTAGACCTTGAAATTTGTTGACGTCTTGTAATAAAATCTGTATTGAAATCCTGCGTGGTTGATTGTTGTACTTAAAACCTTGGAAGTTCTTGAATCACCGTTTTGTTTTACACTCTTGTTTGTGCAAAAAAGGGCGAATATTTTCATACGTAGTATAGCGTCGAATCTTTTTTCCTTTTTGAACATTGTCTAAGGAGGAGCCTATGATTATATATTATCGCATATCTGATGGTTATGGCTGATTGTCATATACAGAAAAAAAATGTAAAGAGAATTATTCACTGCCGATATTGAAAAACGATTTTGGTCGCGATCTTAAATAAAAAATTAAAGATTCTATTGTCTTGTGACATTTCTTAACGCAAGGTCTTCATAAACAATCTCACTAGAGTCGTTTACGTGGTAAGACTTTTTGTTCTATATGAAAAATAGTGAAATTATGATGTATTAAAACGCATGCTGACTTTAATCGAAAACTGGTCTTATACATCATTGAACTTACACATTCCAAAAAAACGAAATGAAACAATTTCTTTGCTTTTTTTGTAAATCAATTACTTTTTCGAATTCGGTACTTAAGTTGTGGCAAAAAGTTTTAGTAGCGGAGCGTCACCATTAATCTGAAGAAATTAGTAATCGACAGTGATATACCTTCAAATGTAATTTGTGAATGTTCAACTGCCAATACATATCGCTTTAAAGTATTTATTTTATACCACTGAACCATACAGGTCATGATCTTTAAATCTTGTTGCTGCTAACGTAATATCGCTGAAATAATATTTTTCATTGAAATTTTGCGTAGGCGGCAGCGCTTGAAGTCAGCTATAGGATGAATAACTACAGTAGAACACTAGTCCAAAAATTTTTTTTTTGAAAAATCAGTTCAAAATCGGTTTTTTTGGATAATACGTCAACTTTGCCGTGGGGGTATCCATGTCAAGGTATAAGTTAACAAAACTCTATTGATCATATATTTTTCTAATAAATATTCCTTATTGTGTATGTATTATGACAATCTTGAATGTGTTAAAAATTAATCTCCTTTTCCACTCTCTTTTTCTAATGCTTGATGTCTACTCAAAATTGATGATCTATTCATTCATCAACCATTTTTTCTTCCTCTCATTGACTGACTTGTTTCCGTCATTATTTCACCCTCATAATTAGAAAGATTCAATTTAATCTGTACTAGTTTTTTTTTTCTACTTATTGTGATCATGAGATATATACATATCTACCACTATGCGTGTTTTTGAGATTGTGAATGTTTTTCTCGCCTGTTTTTTTCTCGATCGATTCGTTGAACGATTCATAAGCTAAGAACTACTGTTCACTCAAAAAATGAAGGGAAATATGAACACATTTTTTTCTCCACTATGATGACTTTTTCCTAAACATAAAAGTTATCACTATTTCATATTTATCGCTTTTTTTTTAATAATTTCTTCGTTTAACATCACAAAATAGGAAATGTATATTTAATACAGAGTATTTATTATTTAGAAACATTTACCTCAACAAAATGCTTTCATTGAAGAAAACAACTTTCTTCTACCAAAACAGTACAACTTTAACGGCAGTATCTTCCGTAGTGAGAAACTCACTCGAATTTTACTAAGAACTTAGACAAATCTTACTACAATCATGAGATTCAAAAATTCTAAGATTTGATAAAATTTGTTAAGAGCTTAATAAGATCTTATTAAGAATAGGTTATACTTTATGACTACTATTTTTTTGCTAAGTAATTTTTATTAAATGTTAAGTTAATTTCTACTTTAGTAAGCTATATTTTTGTGTGACTGGGGGCGGTGAGGGGGATGCGTGGAGAGTATGAGAGTGAGCCATTAAACCATATTTCTGCTTGTTTCTCAAAAGATATAATTATTTTTAATAAATTACTTAGAAAAAAATTACTTTTTACTTAGAATTTAATAAAAACTACTTAGCATTTAAATGGGAGCCATACTTTATCTAAGATTATTCCAAGATTGAGTGTGAATCTGTTAGTATCTTAACAATAACAACTATTACGTTTTTTAATCACGTTAATTTACCATTTACTAACAGTGTTTGAATATCTAGTCTATACTATTGTGATAGAAGTCGAACGAGTTTTGAAGAACGAAGAGAAATTTCATATTTTTGAGAGTCCGATTCTGGACCTTGACTTGTACTATACATTCTTTGAAAAGTTGCTGGATACTTTTAATACTATTGATATTCAATAATCTTCTTTCGAAAATAAACAATTGAATTTATGATATAAAATATATTGAATGCAATAGTATCACTAAATTAGGTGTCTTGATTTATTACTAAATAATCCTATTGATGCCCTTTTAAGTATCTAATTAAGTTCTTAGTAACTTTCCCAATGTTAGAGTTATTAATTGAATATTCGCGAACCTAAATAAAATAATGAATGATAGCATGCTAATGAAACCTTAAAAGTAAAAGAAATTTACATGTTTTCGCATTTAAATTCATAAATTTTCTTTCTCCTATTTATTATGGTGAGAGATCTAAAATGAAAAAAAAAAGTTGCCTTTTTCTTCTTATTATTTGATATAAAACAATAGAAATCGTGCTCCATACTTGGATAACCGTTTTGTTGATTAAAATGTATTTTCTTATTCAGTTTACAACAACAGGTGAACGAGTGATTTACAATGGTAAACAAGGCTCTACTGTTGCTGATTTATTAAGATGGTTAGAACATCGTTTTCATTTTGAATCAAATTGTAGTGAAAAAACAAATAGACGTTTAGTATTATTATACGATAATACACCATTGAAAGAAGAATGGTATATAGATGATTTAAGCATAGACTCTGGTGCAACAGTTAAATGTACTATACGAGAAGATAAAGTAAACACACATAAATTAGATTATAAATACACCTTTTTTTTAATTCTCTTTGTCTTCTTCTTAGATACCAAATTATCGATTTTTTTTACCGATAAGAGGTGAAATGTTTGACATATATGATGATAACCTTCATCCAATTGATACAACGATAATTCAAATGAGAATTATTGCTAGTAGAAAAACTGGTCTGCCATTATCGGCATTTCGCCTAGTAGTGGATAATAACAATGAATTATTTGATCATTTTACACTATCTTCATATGACATAGGTTATTAATTAAAAAAATAATCAAATAGATGATATAATTTTTCTATATTCTCCTATTATATTTCTTTTCGTGTTTAGAACCTCGTTCAACACTCACCATTCAAACTTGGGTAGGATGGAGTGATTTTTATAGTTATGCTATTAAAGGTATATTTAACTTTCGAATAATTTTATCATAGTAAATATATTTATTATATTTATAGGTTATACAAAAGCCGTATTAACATTATTGAGTCATGATGAACTTGTTAAACAGTATATGCTTCAAGTTGCCTTATATATCTCAGCTCATTATGGCAACGTTGATTTGGTTCGTTAATATCACTGTTTTTTCTATTTTTTTTAGTCATTATTTTTATAGGCGCGAGCATTGATTAATATTGGTGCAAGAGCTGATAAACCCGTAGGTCATCATCCGTCTCGTCAATGGTGTGCATCACTATCAAAACATCCAGACTATTTTCGATGTTTGTATAAATGTATAATCATTTAAGAAAAAATTTGTCAATATTAATTATTTTTAAGGTCCTATCCATGAGGCAATTGAAAGTGTTCAAGTTGGTATTGTTTTATTGTTCGGTAGCGTACAATCAACTATTCTTCAAAAAACCGATGGTTATGGAATTTCTCCGTGGCGGTTAGCATTACGACAACAGAAATCAGATCCTGTTCTACAATCAAAACATCGTGAAATAGCCTTATTTATTCTTACTAAACAATTTGGTGGTATTAAATTATCTAAAAATGTGACAATAACAAGTAAACAAATGTATGCATTAAAATCATGGGCTGATCGTGCTAGAGAAAAATGTTATTTAAGAAAAGGATCACAATTTAGTTCATTGAAAAAAAGGCCAATTAATGTTAGTGGTCTATTAGGTTATAAATTATTAATAGATGGATACAACAATGATTTTTGCGATTTTTATTCAACAGCCGAATATGCAAAAGAAAAAGCACGTACTATCTATTTTATAGATGACCATGAAAAATTAAAAGCAAAACAAATGGAAAATCATTTGAAAAGGTAAAAACACAAAACTTAGTTAGCTATACACATGTCTAGAATGTCAACCAAAGCATTTAAATCTTTGAAAAATATGAGAAATTGAATAGTTTCCTGTTATATTCTGCACACTTTCACCCATCTACCGCTAAGATTCTTCGATCTTAATTTGAAATTAATTAAAAGTGTGCGGAGTTTGGGAAGTAACAGAATTGAATCGCTAAATGCTTCGATGTTTAAAATTAAATTCTAAAACACCTGTTTCAAAGTATTTTTAGTCTGAATTTGTATAGCTATTTTCAGTTTCAACGTTTTAAATACTTTATATACCAAAATTGCTGGCCAACAACGTCCAGGTAGTCGAACAGGCAATACAAACACACTCTATTCAGGAAAAACAACTGGTAGAAAACTTTGGAATAAAGTGTCGGGAATATTTCGATTAGAAACATTATTACTTCGCAATGTTATTAATCTAATCGAAGTTGGTTTTATTAGCGATGGAACAGGTGAACAACATAATACAATTTTGGAAGAGGAAGATCACATATTATCGATTATGGATGATGTTAATGCACAAATTTCAATGCAATCGATTATACCGCATAATACACCAGATCAAGATCGAAAGCAGGTATTCAGTTAATAAATATATTTTCCATTTCAAATATGAAAAATGTCAAATCATTTTAATAAAAAATTTTGTCTGCTCTATTTTTTTTGTAGAAAACTGCATCGAGTAAACCACGGTCAAATTCAAGGATAACAATATTTTCTCCTACTAAAGATATTCGATCATCTGCACAATCGTCAACTGAATCAGCCTATATTCCAATACGAATACGTTTATTTACTAATCGTTTTCGTTTAATCAAAGAAATGATGTACAAACCGGATAAAGATGGTCGCACACTAAGACATCTAAGCGGAAATGAATGGGCAAATGTAAAACAACGTGAAAATGAGTGGCATACTCAGCGAGCAAGTACTGCTGCCGTTCAAACAGCACCAGTTGATCCAAATATTGCCAGTTTACTTGCTGAGAAGAAGAAACGTAAATTAGAAGCGGAAAGTACTGCTCCAAGAACACGAATAATCAACAATAAACAAAAAGAACTTGAGAAAACGAAAAAGAAGGTTGTTGCACGAAAAAAGCACAAAAATCGAACATCGATATTACCGGAAGTAAAGGAGGTGAAATTACTGCTACCTCGAGAGGCAAAAAAGATTGATTATCGATTTGTGTTGAGATCAGATGATAAAATACGACATGAACTGATTGGTGATTGGGAAAGTTCTTCAACTTTATCATTGTCTGATCTCGCTCTGCAAAGTATGATTGAAGCAACAGCGTTTACGAAAAAATCATGGATTAAAAAAGTTAATTTAGGAATTGAATTTTCTTTAAATCAAAGTAAACGAACATTTGAATGAGCACATGAGATAGACTCATCTCCCTTTTCCTCCCTCATTCGATTAATTATTTAAATGAAGAGCATCTTTTACCGATTATTGTATACGAGCGAAGTTAAATCAGATGTTCTTCATTCTTTCAAAGAAAAAAATAACTGCTTTAAAGAATCCAATCATTTCTCAGTACAAACCAAATGTTTAATATGATCTAGATCAATTGTATAAAACTGGTGCTTTTTCTTCATTTTTCCAGTTTAGTTTGTGAAAGAGATCTATACTGTAAATGTTAAAAAAAAAACAATTTTCCTACAGAACAATAAATGTACGTAAAAACTAGGCGTCTAAGCATATAAAGAAAATTGGTTAATTAATAAATTCATTTTTTTGTGAACTTGGTAATTTTTTGTGTGCTTCATCTTCAATGTCTGCTATATTACCTAGAGCATCATAGATTCGAATTTTGGGTTCTACTGGTGGTCTCGTAATTTCTTGTCGAATTAGTAAATAATGATAACGAAGTAAGTTTTCAGCTAATGACGGTTTCAGTTTATACATATTTGAAAAATGTTCAACATTAAACTCGTCCGGTTTATCAACGCGTTGTTGTAAATAGGTGAGAAACTGACGAATTGTTATGTGACCAGTAGGAATTTGAAGTGGTTCAATGTAACCAAATGGGTCTTCTTCTTTATTCATAACTGATTTTAATTGTGACTTTGTGTCAGAGTAATGACGGTGCGCATGTCGAGTTTCATTTAATTGACGTTGAAATAAATCTGTTGTATCACCACTCGAATAAACTTTGACATCTTTTAAATTCTCTAATAATTGTTCATTTTTTTCATGAATTGCTTCTGGTAAAACTGCTAGAATTACATAAAGCTGTGTAAATAGAACAGAAAACTGTAATGATGTACATAATAGCCTACTTTCGCTAAGATACCTTTCTTCTGTTGGAAATCTTGGCGACATGGCTGGTTTCTCTTTAATATCTTTACTAATCAATTTTTCAACACGGTTCTCAATGTTATACATACGAAGTGCCCGACGTCCTTTTCCAACGATTGCACCCATATCTTTTATACATCTACAAACTGAATGATACGATCTTTCTTCACGAAAATTGTTTGTAAAATTCCAACTACAGCATTCCTTTTCTGAATTTACTCTGGTAAAAACAACTCATACGTGCACATTTTATCAGAGGGTACAAGAAGATGAAGCAGATATCCGACTAATTTTGCCAGATATAACTTCAAACTTTCCTCTAGTACAGTGATCAGAGTTGGACAAGTCATTAAAAAAATTTTCATGTCAAGTTGATGTGAGAAATTTTTTCTCCCAAGTCAAGTCTGGTCAAAAAATACGCAGAAAATAAAAATATAAACTAGCGCCTTTTGGTTGAGAGACAGTTTCAGAAACTCTGTTTCATGATAAATTCTATCACTTCTATCAGATACCTATCACAAACTACTTGACTGATAAAAAATTCAGAATTCTATCCTCAGAAAACAATTTTTATCACACATATGTTGAAATATGTTATGCATTCCGTTCGTTTTGTTTGATACCATTTGTCCAATCACAGCTAGGCATTTTTTTAAAAAGTCGGTTGTCTTTATTATAGTCGTATACGTGTGTGACCTCTATAGCCTCTGATTCACGTAGTAACGCGAATGAAAACCTGGCATGATGGTAGACATCTTATTGCGCATCTTCTGTACTCAAGAACAACTGACATGTCTATTTACAAGGGAGAAACGTTTCCAGAGTTGCCAATTGTAAAATATTTAGAAAGAAAGTTCTTAAAATTGGAAAAAAGGCAGTGAAATCGAGAAGCTCATTTTTTTTAGAATAACTCAAAACCAGAGAGATAATATTTTTCGTACGAGCTAAATATTTTTCTTTCTTATTTATTTAGTTTTTCAATAGAAAAAAAATCACATATAACAAATGGTATTAGTGACGAGAAAAAAATTGCTTTTTCGCGCAATATTCGTGTTAAAGACTTTGACTTATAGACGACTAGCACAGCAGTGGTCTAGAAAAGCGAGACTAGTGCTCGTACGAAAAATTAAATTTCACTTTAGTCAAAAACTGTAGTCATAGACCTTCTGCAAGAAAGATTTTCTGGTTTCTCTATTCATGTTTTCTTGTTCCACTAGACCTTCCGTATCAAAGTATTTGATAAAAAACCCTCGGATATTACTTTTCTCCACCAGTTACTTCCAAGTAAACGGAAGATATAAGAATTCTTTATACACAGTCGGGCGGAGACAGTTAGGGAATTATTCGATGTTTAAAAAGAAAAGAAAGTTTTGTACTCAATAGCTTATTTTTTTATGTCACCTGAATAGGGAAAAGGTGAAAAAAATTGTTCTCTACATGAAAAAAAAATTATTTTGATTAGGCTATCGTTTCTTTGTTGAAATTGTGGGATCGAAATATTTTTAGAAAATTGTTTGAGATCGCACAGTTGATTTGCTTTTATTGAAACATCAGTGCAGCATTCGAATAAAAAAAAAGTTTCTATTTCAAGATTGTGAGATGTTCGGTGCATGAGAAAGTCACCAAGATGTAATGTAATCCCGCTTCAATTTACCTATTTCCTGTCAAAATCGCGATTTTTAACGCGAAACGAAGAGAAAAAGCAACCAGAGCCCCATTTAAACAGCAGTCCTCATCACCAAAAGCTACCTCAATTTTCATCGTCTTGAGATTTTAATGGGAGATTTCTGACTTTCTAGGAAGATGGTACGTAGTTTCCTGCACTATAAAAAAATCATCTTATATGTTGAAGCCACCTTTGAAAGTCTTCGAAAAATGTTTTGTTCTTAGCACTGAACGGCATAATCTAAAATTACATGGTTCTCCTAGAAAAGGTTTTCTATTAAAATTCTCTTATGACGAATAAAATTTATAGATTTAAAATTGTAAGTAAAGATGTTTCCAGCTGAAAGCCTTCAAACTAGCCAAAAACTCGAAAATTTTAGATCCTATTAGATAATATCCTTTTTATCCAAGCTTTCTTTGAATTTCTAGTGATTTTGATTTACTACAATTTTTTAGTGAAATTGCTAACGCTTTTAATCTATTCAAAAGAATACATGGTATGAACCTATTGTTGTTTTTCCTAATATGTCAGATCTACTACTAAATTAAACCATACTATTTATTGTTTTTTCACATATGATATTTGAGATAGAATAAGAAAATAAATTGATGGCAAATAGAAGAGCTCCCGGTGAATACATTCAAGCACCTCCTAATGCTGCAGCTCATGTGGACGCTTATTTTGAATATCGAGCGTATGTATTAGTTTCTTCTATTATTTACATATACTTGAAAAAAACAATAAATTATACACATTTAGAATTGTGGGTGACGATGACGGAGGCCAAATGTTTACGCCCGAAGAATTTGAAGCGTACAAAAATCGTGTCTTGCCCATGGTAAAAGATCATAGATCTCTCATATTATTTAATTATTCAAGATTTTTTATACCCTTAGCGTTTGCATAATCGTTTATACGTATCGTGGGTGAATCCAGAGGGAATGGATTGTATTCTAGTCGGACCACAGCACAAATGTCTATGTCGACATAGGTAAGTTAGTGATTGAGAAATTTTTATCACATATATGACGAACCGTTTCTATTGTTAAAAAAGATTCACTGAGCACAAAACTGATTTTCAACAAATACCAAATGATCGTCCAATTCTTCTTCCATGTCGTGCCTCTGGTTGTCGCTGTGTTTCATTTGATTACGCAGCAAATTCATCAGGCACTAGTGATCCTAATTGCAGATGTAAACATGCTTTAGAACATCATTCTACAAATCCACCGTACAAATGTAAAAAAGGTATAATTATACACTGTTGAGGCGATCTATCAATAACAGGTTTTTTCTCTTTTAGGCTGCGCTTGTTCAGGTTTCAGTACCCCATTCACATGTGGCTGTGGCACAGCAGCTAATAAGCATTTCACACTTGTGGAGACAGCAGAAGAGCGAGAAAAACGTGGTCATCCAACGGGATCGTATGCTACGCCTTACAAAGCAATGGGTGGAATGACGGGCTTTAGTTCATTGGCTGAAGGATATCTTCGATTAGATGAAAGTGGTAGAGGTATGGTAATCATACAAGTTATATCGAAAACAGCTTGTTTCGTTCGCTTTACTCATCTTTATGGTCCGAGTTAAAGTTATTAAGGATCTATATCTATTAATGCATTTAGGTCGACCGAGTGATGAATTTTTAAATCAACCAATCACAGCGGCAGATCACCCGATATTACGGACACACGCCGCACTCGATCCTAGCAGTGCGCAAGACGTTCTAAGATAAATTATTACTATTTAATTGCAGATTCTATTTATAGGTCAAGAAGCTCAAAATCAATTACGACGTGGTGGCGAAAGTGAATTAGATTACTATGAAAGAAGATATAAAGAACGAGTAAGAGAAAGGATGTTATGGGCTAGTTATACCTACCTCTTGGCTGTCGTAAGTCAGACCGTCCCGGCAAATTCTTAAAATTTTATCATAACAGAACATATACATACGTATACTATAGACAGAACGCAAGAGAAAAAAAGGAATACATTTCATAAACACAGCGATCTCATCAGCATATGAATATGACTTATATTATTGAAAATCCAATCATGACTATTCTTATATTTTTAGCAACATCTGTCAAAATCGGTTAAAGCACCGGAAAATCCCTATAATTCAGATGCTCAATTAACGACGGGTAGTCGAAAAAGCGGCACTTCACCGCAAAGACATATTAAAAAATGAGTTTTCGATGTATTATTTATTGAACAATAAGCTATTGAATGAATTGTTTTTTATGTATTCTATTGACTGAAAGAGCTTTCCTGCTTCAATTTGGGAGTATACGACAACCGAAAATGCAAAATGGGGAAGCTATATAAGCATACTGATACTTTCATTTATTTTTAATTTGTGATAGTAGTTCAGTGTTCGGTCGATCTTACCTTGCACATATTAATGATTACTGTATAAACGTGTTTAGATAATCCTTTCACTAAAATATTTTTATTTTATCTCAGCTTAATGTTTTCCAACGCAATATTGACGCTTTTCCTATTATCCATTATATTTTTTAAAAAAATTCAGCATTTTGACGGACAGGCGTCTTCAAAATTATTGTTCTTTGTTAAATTGTTCTTCATGGTAAGAACTGAATTCTAAAAGGGTTTTATACATGATTGAACATAGAAAATAAAGAGATATGTTCAGCATTACGTTCCTCGATCCAAACTTCAGTCTGAAATATCTGAAGTTTATCAAGAAATGCCGTGGCGATAAAAATCTATTTCTTACATTTCTAATCTGAAACAACTCACCACATTTAAGTTTCAGGTTTTATGTATTATTCTTCATTGATTCGAGACATAACGATCTGTTCGTAAGATGTCGCTAACTTCTGTATTATTCACGAATGATTCGACAGGTTTTTCATACCAATTTAAACGGAAGAAAAATAATTAATTTCACCTATATTTAATTCATAAAGTTTTATCATAATCTAATGTAAACATATTTCGTCAAATAAAATGCAAATGAGGTACTGACTATTAAGAATCTATTCATGGCTGCCGAATTTTGCCTTCATCCTTCCGCACATATGCAGACACATAAAAACACATGATTAATTAAAAAAAAGGCTTTAATAAGAAAATTTGGCTGATTTTTATTTACTTTCGAATATTTAATTACAAAATAGAACTAAAAAAAAGTGTTTAGATACTGCACCATAGAAGCTTCTGCTAATATTTCTTTTCAGATCATAGAATGAATACAGACAAAGCTGATCAAGCTGTAAAACAGTGTACAGATAAAGTTCGTGATTTAAAACAGTCTTTATCAAATTTTTTAATCGAATACGAACAACGTGGTGTCCCAAACGGTGGAGACACAATTGATTTATCATGGCCAAATTTATTAGATCAAATGAATGTCTTATCTAGCCAAATAACGACAATTCGCAACACAATTAAAGATAAATTGCCTATCTTACGTTCACATGGCATCATACCAATGTGTTTATCCCAAGATAAAGATCCACAATTAGAACAGATGACTGAGCGTCGTATAACGACATTTACACATGATTTTATGCCAACACTATTACGTACAAAAAATCACCCAGATATCGAAGAAAGAGAAAAACAGTTGATGAATATAAATAATAAAAATGCTCCAACAACAACAATTACAACACAAAATGATGTACAACGCCGTGTTCAAGAATTAAATTCTGTTATTCATAGTATCACGAATATGTTTATGAAAACAAAAGAAGCAACAGAAAAAACAGAAAAACAATATAATTTACAACCTTACAATAATTCGGAAGATACTAAACGTCTCATGGAAGCTATGAATAGTGGAATTGGACTAAAAATAGCCGAAACACAATCGGCAGTAACAACGTCGAATACGGACGCAATAAATGCACAACCATCGACGTCACAAGCACGTCATGTAAACGTTCCACGCTTTGTTGCACGAGCGGCTAATCGACGTTAATGTCGCTTGCTGTTTTCTTTCTAAAAATATTAATTTTATAATTAGCATAAACAAATATGGATGTATGTATCACTTTTCTCAAAAAGGCAATTTTATCCGACAAATTCAAGTAAAGCCAGTCTTAGATAAAAAAATTGCGTTGATCGCATTCTTCAAAAGAATTTGTACATCAGTTTTTTTTTTGTTTTATTTCTCCGTGTAATTTGGAGAATAATGATCTTCTCTGTTTAAGATTTTATTTTTTTCTACTTGTTTCATTATTTGAAGGCTTTTTGTGTTTGCCGTAGTTCAAAAACTCATCTGATTACAGGAAGCAGTTCTATTCGCTATCAATGAGTTTTTTCGACTATTTTCTAAAATGTTTCATAGATCTTATTTTTGATCAAAACGATTTACGTTCCTCTTTATATAAGTTGGGAAACACGCTTGTTCTATTTCTTGTCTCTTCAATTTTCTACAAAGATCTGCTCAGAATGGGATTGTAAATAAATTTTCTACGTTATTTTGAAAATTTTCTCGGACGAGAGGGGGCGTAACAAATTTCTTTGTCATTGATTACTTTTTTAAACAAAATAAAAACCATTTGGATGACGAAATGCAAAATTTTTCAAATGCTGAGGGAAATGACGCCCCCTCTCCCTCTCAACTGTTTAGAAAAAGATTTATTTCCAAGAAGACTGCTCATTTTTTATCTATTTCGTTATTATTCTATTCTCACTCATACATGTTCTGCGAATGACTCATCTTTTTCGAGCCGAATATTTAATTTGTTTTTTTGTTCTAGATTCGTTCTCTTAATTTCTTTTCTCTGTCTCTTACACATACATCCCCCTTGACCATTAATCGCTACAATGAGAAAGAAACAGTAATAAACAACATTGGTGATCTTATTTGAGTCTAGCGAGATAGTCGTATTTTCTATTAGTGTATTACCACATTTCATATTACGAGAATCGAAAAAAACTTATCAATGAGTACAACAAATACAGTGACGCGAAAAGCGGTTGATAGTAAGTAGAATAATTAATGTTTACACTACTTATTGTTAATTTTGTTTGTGCTTCAGACCGTACAGATAACAATAATTTCAAGGTGGTCACTGTTGTGGCTACACGTGGTAGAGGCGCTGAAATATCAGAAGAGATTTCATACACGGATACAAAAGTCATAGGTAACGGTTCATTTGGTGTTGTTTATCAAGCTAAATTGGTTCATTCAAATGAACATGTGGCGATTAAAAAAGTTTTACAAGATAAACGATTTAAAGTATGTTTAGTGATCTCGATATCAACACTCAAAACTCACTTTTTCCTATCTGTTCAGAATCGAGAATTGCAAATTATGAGACGGCTCGACCATCAAAATATTGTACAGCTGAAATATTTCTTTTTCTCATCTGGTGATAAGGTTTGTAATTAGTTCTTGATAAAAGTTTAGTTTATATGCTACTTTGTTGGTTTTAGCTTAAAGAAGAGGTTTATTTAAACCTTGTGTTGGAATACATACCGGAAACAGTTTATCGTGTGGCACGGCATTATACAAAACAAAAACAAATTATTCCCTTACTATATGTCAAAGTATGTGTTATACAATTCTAAGTTTGTTCTTGTATGAATAGATTTTGAATGTTTTCAAGCAAAAAAACGAAAGATTTCGTCTCGGATTCTTATCATCTAAATATTGTAAAAGTTACGATATCTGAACAGTCATGGCACTCTAAAGCAAAAGGCTTGTTAACGATGATGTTCAATATTTCATGGTCATATTTTTAGCTATATATGTATCAGTTATTTCGTGCATTGGCTTATATACACTCATTTGGTATTTGTCATCGTGATATTAAACCTCAAAATTTATTGCTCGACCCGGAAACATCTATATTAAAACTGTGTGATTTTGGCAGGTAATATAAGCAGGTATAAGAGTACTGTGATCATACTCACACTGTTTATTTGTGTGTGTTTAGTGCAAAACAATTGATTAAAGGTGAACCTAATGTTTCTTATATATGTTCACGTTATTATCGAGCACCGGAATTGATATTTGGTGCAATTGATTATACATGTTATATTGGTAAAGAAAAAATAAAACTTCAAATTATTCACCCACGGTTGGAATTTTTTTCTATTTGAAAGACGTCTGGTCATCTGGCTGTGTTTTTGCTGAACTTTTACTTGGTCAACCAATATTTCCTGGTGAAAGTGGCGTCGATCAATTGGTCGAAATAATTAAAGTACTTGGTACACCTAGTAGAGAACAAATAAGACAAATGAATCCAAATTATCAAGAATTTCGTTTTCCGCAAATAAAAGCACATCCTTGGCATAAAGTAATTGCTGAGAGAATTTGACAAGTGAAGAAATGTTTACGTATAACTTTTATTCATAGGTATTTCGAAATCGTACACCCCCGATGGCAATTGATGTTGTATGTCGATTATTAGATTATACGCCAGCAACACGTTTGACACCTTTAGATGCCTGTGCACATTCATTTTTCGATGAATTACGTGATCCAGAAACAAGATTACCAAATGGACCGTTGCCGCCATTGTTTAATTTTAGTCAACAAGGTAAGTTTCACGTTTGTAGTTAATCTTGTTTTCTCTGATTGAATGTACCATTTTATCAAGTCCATTATGTTTTCTCACAAGACTGAGAAAGAGAAGAACGACTAGATTAATCTTAGTGCGTCTTCTTATTTGACAAAAATGACGTTCAATTGTTGCTTATTTTTTTTAGAATTGAACATTAATCCTTCTCTTAATAACCGTTTAATTCCTGCTCATATGCAATCATTAACATCAACTGTATCTCAAGCAGGAACAGCAGCGAGCAACAACGACAAATCATCGTCACAACAACCAACGACTGCACGTTCAAATAATAGTCCACCTACAGTGGCTGGTGGTGGTGGTATCAGTAATCAAACGCAAGTCGTTACATCGTCATCCACAGCAGCAGTCTCTATTCCATCATCAAATGTTCATGGATCATCAACGAACATCGCATCTGCGACTCTGGCTACTAATGGAGGTAATCCAACATCAACGAATGCTATTTTATCGTCATCAACAACGGATCAAACGGAAGCAATGAATAGTTCAGAAGATGCACCGGTAGAAAAAGAAGATCATTGATCATGAACAACGAACGAATAATGGTATTGATGAACTTTCTCTCTCCTTCGTTTATTTTTCTCGATTTCTCTCTCACTAACAGCAAAAAGAATGTTTTTTTGTTGTGTATATGTATCAGTAACTTTTACTATATTATTATCAACTATCATGTCCAGTTCTATACCCGATTTTTTCCCACACAAAAGAACGCAGAAAGAAAAATATGACGTTGATGGTGATGATCAAAAAAACGATTTGACTTATTATTTTCTTTGTTCAATTATCTGCGCTCCGTATATATAGTATATTCTCGCACTAATGACGATAACGTTCAATGCGCGCTCGTATGTGTGTGTGTTTGTGTGTGTGTGTGTATTTTATTTGTTTCGAATGTTTATATCATTTTTTTTCTCTTATTCAATCGCTGGTAAGGACGGCCTGTGTGTGTCTACGTCCTCCTGTCTGTGTGTCAGATTCTTAGCGCACGCATATTAGACATCCTTAGACACATAAATTCGTGTGTATTTATGTGTATGTAGTCTCGCTTTGTCTCTTCGAAATATATGGAAGATATGTTTGATTTATTAATGATTTATAAATAGAATAAAAAAAACGAAACGTATTTCATCGTACAACAACAAATTATTTTCTTTTCTTTACATTTCTAATTTAATTTTGTTCTTTTTAATTAATTCTTGCAAGAGTGACGCGAGAAGAAAGGAGATTACGACAGTATGGTGCCATCAAGTCCTACGCAACTGTAGATTTCTTAAAATCTCAGACAAATTAGACCTTTTCTCTTTTTCTTCATTTACGTATTTCTTTTTTGCTAAACAGTGTGGTTCATATAGTATACCCGTCTTTACTTTGTTTCAACCACTGTCACATCATTCTTTGTCTGTTGTATGTTTAAGTTCGTACTTCTCTTTTGATTTTAATGCTTTTGTACAGTTTGTTTTCTCTTTTTCTCTCACTTAATATTCATGTGCGTGCACTCTCTCTTTCTCTCTCTATCTTCAGTATTTCTACAATGATGAAGAGGATTAGATAAAAACAACCTACGAGAAAAATGAGAGTTTTTAAATTTTTTTGTTGTTTCATATGTAACGGAATTTTGTTGTTTGTTTGTTTGTTTGTTGTCTTCTTGAAAACTAAGAACACACACACACGGATGCTTTAAGCATCTTTACATATACATATATATTTTTTTCTTCTGTTTTGTATTTCATCTCTTTCTCTGTTTTTTTTTCTCTCTTTATCTTTTTCTGTTTGTGTTCCAACAACTGCTTCATTTTTCTTTTTTTTTTGTTCATTTTTTTGGACACATACACGTACAGGTGCAAACAAACAAACTTTATTATAGCACACACACATATACACACAAGTGAAGAATAATATAAATATGCAGAATTTATTGATGAAAAAAAAGTTGAAGTATGGAATTGGCATTGGGTTGGGATATCTTATATTGATGAACTCTAATGCATCTTAGATTATTTAGAATACTTAAAAATGTTGAAGTGCACTAGTCTTTTACTTATCAGATTCGAAAAGAGTAATATAAATTTCTTTTGAGTTAAGTTTCAAAATTTCAAGGCAGTTGCGTTTTGAAAGTTGATTGATGCTGGAGAAACTTGTATTGTCGATCACACAAATCATCTCTTCTTTATTCAGCAATTTGTCCAATTTTTCAAAAAATTCTCGTTTCTATATCTGTAAACCGGGCGCATTTATACGATTTTGATATGAAACTTTAAGAAAATTAATCTTTATGATTAAATACTAATCGTATAATGAGCGGGTCAGATATAATGGGTCGCTTTAATCTTTCAACTGTCAGTTTTTTTCTAATTGCTACCTTCACTCTATACTTAATCAATTTTATCCCGTTTTTAACGATATGTTTGGCTTAGAATAAAATCTTATAATTTCGTTAAAACTTTAAACTGAATTGAACATAATTTTATTTCGATATCTTCTTTTCCATATAAAAGACATTTTTTCCATTAGGATGCTATGCTGTTTTGAACTGGGCATGCCGATAGAAAGTAATTTTAACTCATATACAAAAAATATCTTTTTTCAGTTTTTTAAACTTTTCATTTTTCGTTGAAACAAGAACTAAATGGGATTACTACTTTTTTGCTCGTCGTAATAATTTTCGATGCAGTTTACTATTTCAAAAGTTTTAAAAAATTCATAAAGATTTATTCTAAGTCAAGCATACCATTAAGAACGAGATAAAATCGATTAAGTCTCCACTGAAGGTTTTAAAACTTTTGTAATTAAACAAAAATTGGCATATGAAAGTGATCCATCTGTTTTCTCGCTTGCACAAAGCCTTATCCGCTTGTAGCCTTAAATATGATAAAAATTAAAATTAATTCTTCATTTTTTCAATATTCCGACATTTCTCTTAACTTTCTTAATTGCGAGATAATTTCAGTACACATGTAGTTTCATTGCAGATTACAAAAATGTAATAATAGCAGAAAAACACATAAGGGATATTACTTTACTAATTATACTAGTAAAAGTACTAAGCTTTTCTTACTTATTACCGGTGAAACAGTTATAAATCTTGTTATTTTATTATTTATTACTTTTTCAAGTAATAAGTTTTTATCATTTTACTTATTACTTTTTATTATTTTTCTTACTATTAGTAATAAGTAAAATGATAAAAACTTATTACTTGAAAAAGTAATAAATAATAAAATAACAAGATTTATAACTGTTTCAGTGATGATAAGTAATAAGTTTTATCCGTTATCACTTGGTAAAGTAAAATCACAGCCATTATGTCATAAACCACCACTAGTGGTCGCTACCTACACCAGTTTTCAACACACTATGGATGGAAAAACATTTAGGACCAGAGATGAGCAGCTCCGACTCCGGAGCGGCCGCTCCACGAAGCTAGCTTCGCTCCTGGAGCGGAGCGGTTGATGAAAATCACCGGAGCTGGAGTAAGCCTTTTATGAGAGTCATGAAGTCGGAGCGGCTCTTTCTTTTAGCGCTCCACCAATAGCTCCATTTTCCCCTTCGTGTTCTGTAAACGATGATAGATCCATCAGTCAGAGGAAAGCTTATCGTTGACTATTCATCACAGTCGATATTTCTTTGTCGTATTTACAATCAGTCGCAGTTGTGTACCTTTCACATCCGCTTCTGTGGAACGTGTGTTTTCTTCCGGTGGGATGTGTCAGGCGATCCCATGTCAGCCAACTCTCTAAGAACATACTCGCTATGTTGACTCTATTCAAATCCAATCGACGCTCCCCAATTTCCACTAGTCTTATTTCATGTTGCAGATTAAACTGCGGTCTAAAACTATTGTACATAAAAATTTTCGTGTTGATCTTCCGTATATGCTGTGAAAGAGAATATGAACCCCGCAACCGCAGATCATTGCAAAACTACTTCAAAGAAATGCGAGAAATGTGCTTTTCCAGTAAGATGAAAACTATTTTTAGCTGGAGCGAAGTCGGAGTGGAGGTGGAGTGAGCTGGAGTGGAGTTAGAGCTGAGGTGGAGCGAAAATTTACTGGTTGGGGCGGAGCGAGTGCAGAAATTTTCTTGTTGGCGCGGAGTCGGAGCGGAGCGGCTCAAAAATGCCTGGAGCGGGAGCGGAACTGAAGCGAGAAAGAGTCGGAGCTGCTCATCTCTGTTTAGGACGTGCCACTAGTAAACACAAAATTATTTCTAATTCCACGACTGACTATAAACAGTTATTTGGTTCTAGAATGTGATTTTGATGACTATATGAACCTACCTTATCCAGAAACTTTGATTATACCATCGAGATATCTGATTATATATCAATTTATATTTACAAAAGCTGTCTAGTATTCTGTTGCTATCAAAAATTAGTTTCAGATACACTACGCTTAAGAAAATACATTCGTATCTATGTAAAACTAAAGACATTTACAGGTAGACAAATTGTCTTACAGAAATTAACCATAGATCTTCAATAAAACTACTCATAGGGAAATTTTAGTATATAAAACGACATGTACACTCGTGAATATCATGAAATGACCTGTAGTCGCACGTGAACATCGTAAAATGGTGTGTGGATATATGCGAAAAAAAATTTTCGCTTGTGACCTCGTGTCACAATATAGAAAGTTCACACGTGACTAGGGCTGTGACAGTTACCATTAACGTTACAGTAACTGTAACTGCTGAACAGTTGATGTTTTTGGTAACGGTAACGGGTAAGCAGTTACCGTACAAGTAACGGTAACTGTTCAGTATATCTTTCAAGAGTCAAATCTGTAAATATCTAGGTATCCAGGGTGAGGGTGAGGCTACGAACTTTCACCCTCACCCTGGATACCTAGATATTTAGAGATTTGACTCTTGAAAGATATACTGAACAGTTACCGTTACTTGTACGGTAACTGCTTACTCGTTACCGTTACCAAAAACGTCAACTGTTCAGTAGTTACAGTTACCGAGTAACAGTGGTAACAGTAACTGGTAACTGTCACAGCCCTACACGTGACCACGCATTTGATGTTGCAACTGCACGACCCCAACTTCGACAAAAGTTCCCCATGGGTAATATTATGTTCAAACACTACTGAATACGAGCGAAGCGAGGATGTAGTTATTAAATTCTTCAATTATACCATAGAAACGTTTAAACCTATTCTTCGGTGTTCCTTACGAATTTATGATAGAAAGAATTAAATAAAAAAAAAATTTTTTCACGACAAAAAGAAACTTACTTAAAAAACTTGAACACATTCAGATTGCCATAAAAACTTTTGAGGATGAAGACTTGAACCGTACTATATTTAGAGATTCTTCACCAACTATTTTTTCTCATAATTGAAATATATATACTTCCTAGCAAACACTTATGATCATCAAACAAATACATACGTCATAAAAGTCCCTCAACACAATTGATTTTTTACCAGATGGTAAGGATATCAAATGATCTTTTGTCTATTAATTGAAGTAGTAGTAATCCAGTCACTACTATCCACCTGAAAGATCGAGTTTTTAGATAAAAAGAGACAAACAAGTTCTTTACAGAGTAGTTACCAATCTTTTCAAATTATAGTACAACTTTCATTCTGTGAGATTAGACTTCTACAGTAGTTCTCCGTTTCTTTTTAGTGTATTCTGAATAAACAATCAAAGAATACATGAGAAGATAAAAGATAAAAGCAGTCATTTTCATTCACACAACAAATGACTTGACGAAAGAAAAAATATAAAGGCAAAGTTAATAAAATTATATTATTTTTATTGCTATTATTCTGAGATATTTCTACAAACCATGAATGAAAGTTGGCTTCGTTGGTTATTTTATATTTTCTTTCGTTTAACAGTTATTCTATGTATATTTTCTATTTGTTTATTTATTATTTTATCCATTATTATCTATATTTATTATCGATCAGTATTAAAACGACGTCGTCAACAACAAAAACAACGGCCAAGTCAAGTTCAAAAACGTGAAACAATAATTGCACAAAATATTTCATTTCATTCATTAACATTAAATATAAATGAAAAAAGTCTTATTACTGTTCACATTAAACCATCTTCAGTTGATAAAGAAAACTTTCTATTAGGATATTTAAATGAAGAAAAGTTTAAATTTATCTCCCATGAATTTGTGAATGAAAATAGTTTAAAATTACATTTTGCATCAGATATTTCTTTATCAATTGAACATCAGTATATTGAACAAAAAAGGTGAAAAAATAAAAATTATTGACAAAGTGAGAATGTTAATATACAACTTGAGCTTTACTGTACGATTGAACTACATAGAGATTAGTTATAATAAATTTTACATTAAAGTTAAATTTGAACATTTTTACACAATATTCCATCATTGAGCAGACTGGAAGTTATTTCTAAGATAGTAGTCATTTCACAAATTCACGAGTCGACACAAAAAAGTCAATAAAATACAGATGGTCTCAAATAGTTAATTGCAAGATTAATATGTATAATTTCTGTTTTTTTCCTTCTTTTTCTTCTAGTAATGAAACAAAGATGGCTTATTTTGTTCATGAATATATTTTAACATGGTCAGCTAAAAATAATCGAGAAAAATTTCATGATAAATTTACTTTAAGTAATGGATATTGGTACGGTGGTCCAACTCAAAAATCCGTCCATTGGCCTATTAATAAATATCAAACAAAATTTAAACCGTGTCTTTGTGGCGATGCATATAAAGGACATTTTGGTGGTGTTTGTGAACGTTATTGGTTATCTTCTGTGGGCATAGCATTATTAGTTGATCCACTGGCACCACTATTTGTTAGTCAAAATACACATCTTGAATTATTATCAAAATATCGTACACCCTATCGTCTTTCTGTCAATAATAAATCTGTTCGTCATACATTTCAATATCGTCTACTACAACATGTTAATATGCGTGATTTACATTTGACAGTGATTAATCATTATTTAGGAAAACCAACAGGAACACCTGATCATCGAATGATTATCGAACCCATATGGTCAACATGGGCAAATTTTAAACAAAATATCAATACAGATAAAATACTTAATTATGCAAAAGAAATCGTTCGTAGAAAATTTCCCTATTCTCAATTATGTATTGATGATGATTGGACAAATCATTATGGTCAATTTGAATTTGATAAACGAAAATTTTCTGATCCAAAAAATATGATTGATCAATTAAAACAAATGAATTTTCGTGTAACATTTTGGATACATCCATTTTTAAGTATTAAAGCAACAAAATTATTTATTCAAATGTGGTATAAAGGTTTATTAATCAATATGGATTTATTTTCATCAATTATTAATTTATTAACTGAACGTTTTCAAATATTACAAGTAGTTCTACATGATTTAGAACAAAATAGTTATTATAAATCTATTCAATTATTATGGCCAATTGTTAAAATAAAACAAATATACAATTTATTACCAGCATTACCGGGAATTTCTCTCTGGTGGAATGGTTTAGCTGGTTCATTAGATTTTACAAATGAATTAACATGTCAAAAATATGAAGCAGATTTAAAACATTTACAAGATAAATATGGTATTGATTCATTTAAATTTGATGCTGGTGAAGTTAATTGGCTACCACCATTTTCTAAATTTCATAATTCATCATGTAATAAAATTGTTGAACAAACTGATAATACAAAATTTACATTAGGAATATATCCACATTTATATGCAAAATTAGCCTATAGAATAGATTCAACATTAAGAATTCAAGAAGTTCGAGTGGGATATTCAACACAAACATTACCAATATTTGTACGAATTATTGATAAAGATTCTACATGGACATACTCTAACGGATTAAAATCGTTATTACCAAGTGTTTTTAATTTAGGTTTGTAAAATAGTGTGCTGATTCTTTTTAGAGATAAGTGAAGTCTCAATAATCAATCTGTATCTATTTGTTTGTTATTCTCTCATCTCTTAGGTTTACTTGGATATCCATTTATTCTGCCAGATATGGTTAGTCTAACTAAAGTCAAAAAAAGTTATATTATTATGAAATGTGACACATTTATTCTAGGTTGGAGGAAATGGTTATGGTTTAACAATTAAACAAACAAAATTTCCTGATCGTCAATTATTTATTCGATGGATGCAAGTAAACGTTTTATTACCCGGTATTCAATTTTCTTTTCCACCTTGGGCATATGATGATGAAGTTATTCAAATTGCTCATAAATGTTTACGTATACGTATGAAATATAAAAATGAATTAATTCAAATGGCTAATGAATGTGTAGAATATGGTTATCCAATGATACGTCCTCTATGGTTTGTTGATTCATATGATTCCGTAGCACAACAAATCGATAAAGAATATCTACTTGGTAATAATATTTTAGTTGCACCTGTTCTTGAAAAAGATGTGAATGAAATAGATATTTATTTTCCACACGGACAATGGAAAGATATTCAAACAGAAAAAGTATATGATGGACGACAATCATACTCGTATAGAGTGAAAATTGATGATATTCCAATATTTGAACGAGTTTAGAGTCCAATATTTGAAGAGTTACGAAGCTATTTAATAGACTAATATTTTTATTGTATTATAAAGGCCTCTAAGCGACTTAATTCTTTTTGTACGGTATTCGTTTATAAAACTACTTTTTCCAATCAACAACAACAGCAGCACTATCGTTCAAAAAATAAAATATTTAATGTTCAGAGAACAAATCTTTATCATGGTGAAATTTCTTCACGACCAGTGCTGTGATCTTCTTGGAAAAAAAAGACATAAATGATCAATAGCTATTAAGAATACAATGTTTTGCACTTTGCCTCAGAATAAACGGTTCAAGTTTTTTGCAAATTAAAAATGAGTAAATGTTCTTATCGATTTAAAATCCAAAACACGTTTATTGTCCAATAAAAGGGACTTAAAGAGAAAAATAAGACAAAAAAAAAGAGACAACATACAAAATGTAAATCTACCTTTAAAAAAAAAAGAGAACTATAAACACAGGCATACATAAACATCCATACGCTATTCTATTACCATTAAAATAAGAATTAGAGATAAAATAATTAAAAAAAGTTTATGGCGAAATTAGAGCATATTATTTTACAAATTTAACTCGCCTAATTCATATGTCCAAATAAAACTAGCAGTTTCTATCTAAAAATTATGTTCAAAATTGTTCAGAAAAAACAAAAAAGTTTTCAGATCGTTCACTAACGTGCTAACGATAAGATAATGTACAAAAAACACAAAACTGTATTTATAATACATAAAAAAACAAAAAAAAATGGAATGTATTTTTTTTATAAAACTGAATATCTGAAAAAGATCGTCTTTCTTGAGCAAATAGATATAAAAAACAGCAACGATAAATATCTGACGACACATTCTGTAGAAAAAAACCCACAACCTATCAGAAACTAAAAATAAATCGGATGAAAAAAAAGAGGATGTTCAGTAATTAACCGTTTGTACGAGGCCAAGAATCCATACCAAATAAAAGTCCGAGTATGAGAGCAACACCAAATATAACACTAATTATGCATAGAATAAGAGCACGTTTATTTAATTTGTTCGATTCATCAATAAAACCATCTTTAGATTTCTTTTGCGCTTTTCGTGCTAAACCAAAGGCAATTAAACCTAAAAAAACAAATAAATTAACGTAGATCTTTAGATAAAAAATAAATGAATTAATAATCTAATGACGTTTATTATAGACTGTTAGTGTATTACACGATTATATCTGATGGGCTCCTACCAATATACTGTTGTTCGCTCAGATTTTAAAGAAAATTGGCTCCGCTTAGAATTACAGAATGCATGGATACTTTCATTTAATCGTGATCAAAATTGTTTTGTGAATCATTCCTTTCTTTACTGATTGTATAGGACAGTAATAAAGATATTTCACTTACCAATTGGTGGAAATAAAAATATGCATAAAACCGCAAACCATCTCCAATCACTTGGAAGTTTTGGTGCACTTGGATCGAATTTTTTTCGTCTTTCAACCACAGTTGCTGTACTACTTGCATTTGATATTCCAGAGGATAATGTTCGAATAGTAAATGTACTTGAATATAACGGATTAGTTGGACGTACTTGAGGATACTCACTGTAAGTTAATTTTGATGTTCGAGATGTTTTCGAGCCAACAGACTTTGTATCGCCATCATAAGTACGATTTGGATGGACGACTGATGATGGAGAACCAAAATAATCAAGTTTTATTGTGTTATCTGACACGCTGCTTATGGATGACATCTAAAAAACATAATAAAAAATATTTTAAAACTAGTGATGCATGAGCAATGTGGAAAGCAGGATAAATTACACTTAACCATTGACGGTTAACTCGACTAATTAAAAATTATTCATGTCAACGACTTAGACTAGCTAACTGCGGATGAGAGCCAAGAAAGTTATTAGAACTAATCAAGGTAGGCTAGTGCTAGCATTTATATTACATAATGTAAGCTATCCTGTGCTCTACTGACTTCTATGGAATTAGAACGACCCCAAATATCTCCTACAAAATCAGATGTCACGGAGCATTTACTACCGTTAGAGAAAACCTTTAAATTAACTAATTTTATAATTATCTTGGTAACAGAAAACAAATACACTCACATAACCAGTGTATTCAATAAAGAATTTTAAGCGAAGTACATTTCCACGCTTCATTACTAAATTTTTCACTTTTTCTCAACTAGAAACAGGGTAGAGATCAAGCTTTTACAGTGAGAAACTCCTTTCTTTTAACTGCATCTGTCAGTTATTAGAAAAGCTATTAGAAATAACGTAAAAATCACGAAGGTGAAATAGGCAATGTTCTTGTTTTTCTTCAAATCCTCCCAAAACCTAACGTGTACTTTTTTCTGAGATTAATGACAACGCGTATCTTTCATTTAAATAGCGGACCACATCCTACGCTTTTATTCTGTTGTATGAAGCCTATAATAATTTGAAACACTAGTGGGTGGGTAATAGCTAAATTCTTTTCTTTCAATCAATCATGATTGGTTGAAAAGAACTGATTATATCGGTCGACTTCCATGGAAGACGAACATAGAACTTCAGATGTTATATTTTGGCGAAAATGCCGAAGTGCGTTATTATTGAATTTCTTTGACCGCAATTGGTCAACGACCGACATAAAAGCGAACATAATTTACTCGCACATAGAGTCTTCATAGCATAGAACGAAATATGAACGGTGTGATTTTCGCAATCTTTTCAAATTTCGCGGTATTTGTAAACGGGAGCGTAAGTGAAGTAATCAGAACAGAAATAAGAAACTCCAGTTCTTGCGTTATAATGAATAGTCCAAAGATTAAAGTAGAGAAACATCGTGTTTCACAATGTATGATTAGTACGGAAAGAAAAGCTGTATTTTTGGCTGAATCCATACACAGTAGTTGACGATCAGCTCGGTCTGAAAAGAGGAAACAGCTATGTAGTTTTATCAGAGTCGGAATCAGCTCGAAAAAATCGATAATAACTTTCTACAAAAAGTTCTTTTCTACTTTTTTGATGACTCTCACTTTTCGTAAATAAAATAGTCTTAGTCTTAGTCCTTTTTTTGCTTAATGCTTCAGAACTGAACATCTTTCTCAGTGCTTTCAGGGCTGACTCAAGTAACCACATGATGCTGAGTACACTTGATACTAACAGCGATATTTTCCTACACAAACTGACATTGGCGGACCGCCAGCAGAGCAATTGTCCCTCCTGGAAAAAAATATCATGGAAGAATTATATTCGAAGCAAAGTATCTGTGGGACGTTCAAAATAAAGAACGAACAAATCTTGATCGAAACATTTGATATACAATTTAAAAATGAAGGAAAAAGTGTGTTAGCACGGACAAAAATTATGAAAGGAAGCACGTTTGTGTATGCACTATAGAAAATTTATTGTCGCCCTTAAAAAAACTCTCCCGGCCTGCCCATACATTCTAACACTGTTCGTAAGCGTGTGTATAGTCAAATTTTTGTAATATTCTAAAAAAGATTCTCAGAGTTTAGAAATCAGCTCTGAAATTTTCGGAAAACTCAGTCCTGATTTCGTCACCAGATTCAGAGCTGAATGAGCTGCTCGGAAATTTCATCTCTGAATGAGAACATACATTTTAATGAGATCTAATTCAGCCCTGATTAGACATGCACCAGTTACAGTTAACTGTAAAACTGTAACTGTCATAACTGTAAAACTATAACTATCATAATTGTTCCGAAGATAGTTCAGAATGAGTTATCGTTGTACTATTAGCATAGGTTTCAGAGTAAGACAAAAAAAGGACATATATTTAGCTTTTCTATAGAATTGGCAGAGGTTAGTTACGTCTTTGAAGATAATTATTTCAGTCGACAAAACCACATCTATTTCTTTATTGGGCAATCTAAGAACATGTGCTGCGCACATGTTATAAGCTAAATATATTTAGTTTTACAGTTATGACAGTTACAGTTATGACAGTTACAGTTTTACAGTTATGACAGTTATAACAGTTACAGTTAACCGTCCAAAAACTGTAACTGGTGTATGCCTAGCCCTGATAAAACTGCATAGCCGATTCAGCTAAGGAATGTATTTTTTTTATAAAACTGAATATCTGAAAAAGGTCGTCTTTCTTGAGCAAATAGATTTAAAAAAGCAACAATAAGTATCTGACTATATATTCTGTAGAAAGAAACCCGCAACGCATCAGAACCTAAAAAAAGAAGATCATTAAAAAACAAAGATGATGAACGCTATTGATTAAAATCTCCCAACCATCTAGGAGTTTGGATTTGCTGATGTAAATCTGATTGATAATTTATTTTCAAACTTTAAAGACATCTCCCGAAGTATTTTTTCGATATCATAGTGCTTCATGTGATTTAAAAATGAGTTAATCTGTTTTTTTCAAATAGGTCTAAAACATCCTACATGTTTACTTATTTTCTGACAATATCCATCTCAAAAATTTATCTGGATCCCCTCTGACACTATATAACTGGAACAAGATAATGCTTAAATTTTGAGCTAGATTTTAGAATCTTTTTGAAACACACCTCTAATTTTGAAAGAACCGAATTAGGGATCTAATGCCGATCGACGAACATAATAGCAAAACAAGTTGACCTATTCTAACTCTACATTATAGAGAGGAGAAAAGGTTATTTCCCTAACAGTTATAAATATAAATTGAGACTTCTTGATTGTTTCAAGTTAAAATTGGAATATCTGAATTTCAGCAGGCAATTTGAGAACAAAATAACGATTTTGATAGATGAGCTAAAAAGTTTTTAGGATGGTAAAATCCTTATCGTACTTGGAAATACTGTGCAGATCAAAATGTACAAACATTCATAGCTAAAGCTTTTTATTTCTTATGAGAATTAATATCTTTTTTCTGACATTCACAGTGCAATATAGTGGAAAATCAAATAGCAAATTGTTATGAGTTCGTTACTGGCTGATTCGAAGTTTATTTGCTTTTTCATCATTCTACTTCTGTCTTACTAAGCGAGAAGAAACAACTATTTCTTTTAAACAAAACGTTCTAGACTGAACTAACTGTCTCCACATATTTGTTTAGAAGAAGCTTTACCTTGTTTGACTTTATTTAGATATAATCTTACTGCTATTTCTAGATAGAATATGACCCGTAATAATACTAAATCTTCCTCACTAGGTCAGAAATCTCTTCATAAAACAAAAATATTAAATGACAATGGCTCATCATCTTGTGCGTTTATGTTCAATTGTGAAGAAGATGAAATTGGATTTGGTACAGTTAAAAAACGTGGATCTTACTGTCGACAAGAGAAAAGCCTTGGAACATTAACAAGACGCTTTATGGTTCTTCTACGTCAGTCGAAAAACGGTATACTCGATTTGAAACATGTACGTATTTAACATTGCCTTTTATCTTTATTAGACATCGCTATCATCTTAGGTTGCCGATGCATTGGCTACAAAACAAAAGCGTCGTATATACGACATAACTAATGTTCTTGAAGGTATTGGACTTATAGAAAAACAATCGAAAAACACAATCAGATGGAAGTATGTACTACTGTCATTTGTAGTGAACAAACTTTTCTTGATGTTCAATTTTTTGTTAGGGGCGCAATATCTGGTGATAATACAGTTGAAGCCTATCAACGGTTAAATCATAAACAAACTGAATTACAAGAATTAGAAGATGAGTTAGCATTTTGGGAAGAAAAGTTTCGGTTAATCGAAAAAAGTATTGAAAACACATTAACGGATGTCACATTACAAAAGTAAGCGCGATGTAAATCATATTTAGAATAGTAAATTTTACTGAAGATAAATATTTTTAGTTCAATTTATGTTACACACGAGGACCTTTGTCAAGCATATAAAATTGATGACATGATTCTTCTTGCCGAAGCATCTACTGGAACAATGTTAAAAATTAACGAAATTAAGGTTATCATCACAATACATTCCTTTACTATTGTTTGATATATTACGTTCGTTTTCAGAAGGATAACAGCTCCGTGCATCAGTTACATATTCAAAGTAAAAGAGAGCCAGTTTGTTTAAAAGTTCTAAATCGTGATATTCAAAAATATTCTTATGGGAATGGAATTGTTCATGATTTAAAAGAGATGGAGGTTTGTACTATTATCTACAGTTACTTGTTTCAAACAACATTTCGTTCTTTAGATCACGTCGAGTTCTCATTATGATCGTTCCTTCGATTGGACAGGTTCGTAATCCACATCTATGTTTTTCGATTAGCATAAAACTAGCTTTGTTCTCCTACCAACGTTGCTTTCCTCTGGATATAATTTTCAACTTGAAAGATAAAATCTGCTAGATTCCAGTATCCTTGCTTTTATATATTTATCAGCATCAATTAAATAGATGAATTGAAAGTTTCCGATGAACTAAATCATAAGAGAGTTTTTGCTTTAAAGTTTAATATTGATGATTATTATAGTGCCGCTCAATTCATTTATTCCATTGAGTGAATTGCCTGAAAATGCTGATTATCAATTTCAAATGGAACAGAATGAAAGTGTTTGTGATCTTTATGATAATAATGATGAAAAAAACTCAATTTAATAATTTGAGAGGTGTTTTTTTTTAATGTTCCTTTTGACAGTCTGGTCCGTTATTGGGACTATACTATATACACCAATGAATATTTAATTGTGCTTCTTTTCTACCGTCTTTTTTTGGTTTATTTGTGCTATTTTTGTCTTTGTATACAATTTTTTGGTGTATGTTTTTGTTTGTTGATTTTTAACTTATTCATACTATTATTTAAAAGTAAATCAACTTTATATAATATCTGTTTCACAAAGACTTTTGATGCCATTGAAGTGAAAACAACCTTGAGTACAAAGGTAAGGAATAAGCAATGTTTCAAAATTTCGTCTAGTGAACGTTAAAGAAATATAAAGGTAGCGGAAAAATTTTGTGATACCGAATGGAAACTGCAATACTGACTGGCTGAACTTTTTGTATGTTTCTCGAGTTGAATTCACAGTTTATGTGAACAGATTTTGGAGAGAGACTTACTGTTAATAATTAAAGGAACAAAACACTAAAACTAAAGCTGACTGGTCTCAATAAAACTGTGTCTTTAAATATAGTAGCAATAGTCGAATAAACAAAATTTCTACCGCCAATGCGATTATCTCTCACCGACTGCTAGCGCTATCTACCGAATTCTGTAAGGACATATCTCTAACTACAATTAATATGATACAAAAGTATTTAGAAGGTAACAATAAGGTGAGTCGAAAGGCTGAAATTAGCTAAAATCTTCGGACCTTAGATATAATTGGCAGACATTACTATATTGTTTCAAATAGTGGATACCTCTGAACTGGATAAATATCTGTTTATGCTTATTTTTTTCTTTTCCAACAACCAGATTTCATTTTTCTTCGTTTTGTTTCAGTCTCGTTCGTTTGTTGCTGTTCAATTGTCCGGTGGTGTTGTTTGGTGATGGTCTTTAGTATGATGTCCTGATTAATTTTCACATTTAATTTCGAATATTGGTTACTCTCTCTTGTTTACCGTCTACTTTGTTTATATTTCTTTTTGCTTGTCGTTATCTAAACATCTTAATGTACTGTTATGTTCAACTCCAAAAGTTATTATTATTATTATTTATTGTTTCGTGCATGAGTTGTTATTATCGAATAGTTTAATTTTTTATTCTGTTTTCTCGCACAATTTTACCGCATGAATTCTACAACCGATAAACGTGAACCGGATCCCGATGCTATTAAAATGTTTGTTGGACAAATTCCACGTAATATGTCGGAAAATGATTTACGTGATATATTTGAAATATATGGACAAGTTTATCAATTGAACATTTTAAGAGATAAAAATACCTCGGATAGTAAAGGCTGTTGTTTCGTTACATTTTATACAAGAAAAGCAGCACTTGACGCACAAAACGCATTACATAACTTAAAAACACTGCAAGGTGTAAGTAGGATCATTCGCTTTTTTTCTTTTGCTATTGTTGTTTTTTCTAATTTGTTTTGTTGTTATTTTTTAGATGCATCATCCAATACAAATGAAACCTGCAGATACGGAAAATAGAAATGGTTTGTATAAATGATATGTTTTTTTGTGTGAATGACAATTGTTTTGTTTTTTGTTATAGAGCGAAAATTATTTATTGGTATGATATCGAAAAATTTAGATGAATCAAGTATAAGAAATTTATTTTTACCCTATGGAAATATAGAAGATTGTACAATACTCAGAGATGGAAACGGAAAAAGTAGAGGTTTGTGTGTGTGTGTACTGTCTATTGAGCGGAGACCAATCATTTTGTACAGTGGACAGCTTGCTGCATCTTTCTTCAGAGGTACCTGTTCAATATTCTAAGGATCTGTGTCGAAATTAAAGATTGTTGTTTTATCCATAGAAAAAAACGTTTGCCAGAAAATTCATCTGACACTAAATTCTTGTATCCGATAGCTCTGTAGTCTTTCTATCGTATCTGTTCAATAAATATTGTTTTTTTCGGACTTTTTATTCTTTTTTTTGCGTTATTTCTAGGTTGTGCCTTCGTCACATTTCAAAAACGACAGTGTGCTTTAAATGCCATCAAGTCCATGCATCAGTCACAAACAATGGAGGCAAATGAAGAAAAATACCCAAACTAACAAGTTAAAATGTAGAACATTTTCTGTTATATTTTAGGGCTGTTCATCCCCAATAGTTGTCAAATTTGCAGATACACCAAAGGATAAAGAAACAAAAAAAATGCAACAACAATTCACAAATACTAATGGAATAATGCAACAGTTGGCAGCTGCGTCAACACTAGTATGTATTCGTTGTTTTGAGAAACCAAAGTGTTAGAACGAACAAACAATTGTATTGTTGTTTAGATGAGTCCAGCACCAATGAATACGTATAATTTTATACCTGATATAGGTAACTGCATATAGTTAGAGTGTTTACTACAGCTAATTACTTTTTTTAATATAGGAAATTTAGTATTTCTTCAACAACTATTAAAGCAATACGGATTCTTAGGAAATAATGGATCTGGTGAGTAAAACTAGTTAGAATCGAACATTGACAAATCGAGAGTGAGTGTGAATATGAGCAATACGGTTGCTTGTATGAATTGTCAACCTCAAAGGATCTGAAAAAATAATTTGTTATTGAACCAGACTAAAGCGAAAATTGTAAAAAGCAAACGTTAGTCTTGAATAGGCATCAAATTAGATCATTGTGATCGGTTTTAGGTGACTTCTTTCTTAAAGTCTGACCGACTTATCAGCATGAATTTGTCTTGCTATAAGTTCTGCTTCTGTAACAGAACTCCACTTCCAAGTCGAGACATTTTTAAAAATATGTTTTTTATCTTGTCTTTTTCAGCTATTAATTTTCCAGCTCTTAATAATTTATTACAAATGTTGAATTCAAATGGTAATAAACAATTACCAGCTGGAATTGCCAGTAGTCCATCGAATATGGATCTGAGTTCACAGTATGGTAGTACTCAATCATTGAACATACCTGGTCAAGATACTTTAAGTGGACCATTACACCAAATGAACTCACCACGTCAAAATACAAATAATCAACCGAATTATAATGATTCAACATTATATTATGCAAATAATGGGGCAATAAATGGAAATGGGCCAAATAATTCAGCAGCCGTAACAGCATCAAGCAACGGTCCCCTACCACCAGCGTCAACTTTTCAACATCAGCTCTGTCCAAATGGAACTAGCCCCGCTCAAAATGGAGGTGCAAGTGGTAAGATTCAAATATTGATCTCTTTCCATAATAGTTGTTGGATATTTCATTATTATTTTGTTTTTGTCAAGATACTGCACAAAATCTTCAAGGACTGGCTGCATTATTACAACTATCCCATAATGTCGGTAAGTAATCATCTACTTAGTTGTAATAACTGTGATCAATTTGTTAATTTATCTATAGGACTTATACCGAATATTCATTCAAGTCCACCAACAACAAATTCTCCAGTTCCTCCTGGTAAGCAAAACAAACCTATGTTTAAAATTTTATGATCTATGATTTGATTCGTAAGTATATGAGAAAATCCTGGTTATTTCAGGTAATCAAAAATATCTAGACAAATCAACTGGTGAGTGAAATATTAGACAATCGAGGTTTTGTTGTGCGCGTGTGTTTAGCGGGGGCTTTGTTTTGCTTTTTTTTGTTTTGAAAATAGTTTTTTTTTTATGAATGTGGATGCAAAAGGTTTTGTAGATACATGACAATTTACTGTATCACTGATAGAAGAGGATATCTAAATCCGTTTTTTCTGTGCTAATAATATTTGATAAACGTATTATTCTTTGACAAACGTATTGGCTCCATGCTTGCTGTAAGTTTTACAAATCATACGGCATGATAAAATTGATAACCTTTTGATTTGTGATGCTAAATTTTCTTTTCTAGTTTTTTTAAGGAAATAATATCTTTCGTACTTTGTTTCACTATTAATAATTTAAATTGACCGTTTCATTATTATTGTTTCTATTTTTAGCTGCATTTCCTATTTTTCAATCTCCGTCTTATTTGGCATCACAAGTAGCTGGCAAACCTACTGAAGGTAATTATCTTTTGTTATAAAGAAGCCTAGAAACTATTTTTCCAATTTCTTTAAAGGACCAGACGGATGTAATCTTTTCATTTATCATTTACCACAAGAATACAATGACACAGATTTAGCACAAGCATTTGCACCTTTCGGACAAATTATTTCTGCCAAAGTTTTTATTGACAAATTGACAAACAGGAGCAAATGTTTCGGTAAGATGATTTTTTTTGCCAGCAAGTATATTTGACTTTATAATAGTTTACTCATAGTAATAAATGAAAAGATTTCGATGATGAAGTCCACTTGAAATAGATTATGTTGAGACTAGAATATATTTTTTACCATATTCTTATTGTTCGTATCTCTATTTAGGATTTGTTAGCTTTGATAATGTTATGTCTGCTCAGAATGCTATTACGAATATGAATGGTTTTCAAATTGGTTTAAAACGTCTTAAAGTTGAGTTAAAAAAACTACGTAATGATAATAATACTAATCATAACAATAATAGCATAAAGAAAAGTCCACAACAACAACAACAACAAACACGTGTATCACCGTTTTAGATAACCATAACGAAAACAAACAACAGTGTCGCAGAACAAAGTAAAAGTTTTTTGTTTGTTAAAAGTTTTCTTTCACAATATTTTACGATGTTTATAATTTGTTTTTTACAATAGGTCTATTTATTCATATATATTGTGACTTTACTCACTTCGAATCCGAGTCTTTCTTCCTGTTATAATCGTACGGAACAAAAAAAATCTAATTTATAATAGGACGGATATTTCTCAAGTTTAAACCACGATGAACATTAACAAAAAAAAGTCATCCTTTTGTCTGTATATTAGCTTTCTCTCTTTTTTTATTTATATGTTTGTTTTGTTTGTTTGTTTTTTTTGATTAATTAACGTAATGTGTTAACTACTCTTCACGTCATTTGATATCTATCTAGTTTTGTAGACAAAGATCCGTTTATAATAACTTTACATGTTTTTTTTCTCTTTTGATGTGCGTTGTGTTTGTTTGTTTGTGTATGTATGCATTCTACGCGTTACTATCTGGTAGATGTTGATTTACTTTTTTTATTATATCATAGAGCACGTACACTGTTTATTTTACAGCGCACTTTAACAAGCGTTTTTACCTTCACTTTGGTTTTTTTCTTCCTTTTATGCTATATGTCTGTGTGTGTGCGCACGTCTCAACTATGTGTGTTGTTTCTTTCTTAAAAAAAAAACGTTTTAACCAAAACATCATCTCTGTATGTGACCGTTCTTTTATATAACTCTATACTCTGCTTTTTTAATGTTCATTATTTTCATGAAAAATAAAGCATTGGATTGTAACAAACGAAAGTAACACAACCATCTGTGACAGATAACAGAAGGAGAAGCAAAGTACGCATCACAGAAATTAAGCTGAATACTACACATTGACTTTTTTCTGGAATACCTGTTGGGTGGAAAGCATTTGGTTTTTGTAGTCTTTTCAAAGCTATAATAAAGAGTCATTACTCTTAGATACAAATGTAGAGCGGAAAAATGTAGATAAACTTCAGTTCTTGTAACAATGATGTAACAATAAATAACGTTGTATTAATCCGTTTAACAATATCTTGAATTACTTTTAAATGATTAACTTTTACACGTTACAAACTGTAGGCCACTACCAGTTTTATAAACATAAAAAGCCTATTAGTTTTTGAAGCTCTCCCCTCCCTCATATTGTTTATTGTAATATAATTCAGTAAAGGTAATTGTATGCAAACAACAATTATTGATTTTTATTTAATAACAAAAACCGACGCTTCCAATTATGATATGTAATCAACATCAAGTATAGTTTACAATAAAAACAATACACAACTATGTACATAACTAGTCTATGTAGATTCACTCATTTGTCGTTTTCATTTTTCTCTTTCTACTATTCAATCATTTTTTTATCTTTGTCTTTGTGGTCTTAAGAACATATATTGAACACTGCTAGGAAGAGAAACTGAAGAATATCTTAAGTTCTTTATTGCAGTGTTTTCGTTATTAGATTTTGAAATGTGCAAGTTTGGATTCTTGCAACTCATCTAAGATATTTCTGCTTATTAAGTGTTAGTGGTTGTTACAGGAATTCGACATAGTCTTTTTATAATGTTTTTTAATGAGTCACGTGAGTACCGTATCATTTGATGATACCTTTTTTCTTTTACATGTATTAGTTAATTTCAAGATACGTTGTCTGTCGATAAAACGTTTTCTCATCAGTGATCGACATCTCCGGGTGAAGGCAGATTTCATTTAAGATTAGACAAAACTTGCATCATTTGTTTAGTGAACAATTACTGAACGTATTGCTGTTAAGAAAGTCGACTTTTATAATGTCGTTATAATTCGTATAATGGTGCTCAGCGTTTTTCCGAAATGAGTAGTGTTGTCTTGTAGTGTACTTAACTACGTAATTGTGATTAAAACTAATTAGTGATTTTATCTATGGGACTTTATTCAGACATGGTGATCCTGACTATTAACGGCCATTGGCGGGCAGTCAGCGGGACAATTGCCCCTCCCGGAAAAAATATCAAGAGCAATAAACAGTTATTGTGTCCTGTGAAGAATTATATTTTGTAACAGTGCATTTTCTTAAAATTTGAAGTAAAAAATGAAAAAGTTTTGATTGAAAAATTATGTACAGCTCTGGGAGGTACGTTTCTGCATGTAGTACTCTAAAAAGTTTATTAACACCTATAGAAAAAGTTTTCCGATCCGCTCATCCGTTCGAACACATTCTAATTTCTTGAACTTAAATAAAAAGAAAGTGCGTGAGCGCGAATTCTGAACATATCGTTAGTTTGAATATAATTCTAAATATTTATCGTAGTATAATTTTCTAATTAATTGGAAGCTTTTTTGTTTACTTTTGTCGATCATTTGTGGTGTTTGTTCAAAAAATAGGTTAAATAAAAATGCTAAATGGTGATGGACATTTGCATCTGGATAAACTAAAATCAAAATTGAAACAGGATGAATCGTATTCGTGTAAACGTTCTTTGTCGGCAACAAAAATGGACTTTGACGAGATATTTGAGGAAACATCGAGTTTTAGGCATCATCAAAAACGTTTATCAGAAGCCGATTTAATGCTGCTCCGACTTGTGACCAGCTATAATGATAATGAAATATATAAATTACATCAAATTTTCGCATTACACGTACCAGAAGGAAAATTAAATGAAAATGCTTTCACGAACGTTATCGCTTTAATGGTACCAAAATTGTGTTAGTATTATAGGAAATGTACTAAAATTTTAGTAAAGAAAGAATTAAATTTGCGTGTCTAAGATTGTAATTTTCAAGCAAAAAAGAGAAGTTTCATATGATTTTCGTAGATAATTTCAGTTTTCATGAGTTTAAGAATGATTTTCAAGAAACATTCAGGCGTTTAATGATAAAATATAGATCGAAATTTATTAAGCAGTAGCGTTTATCCTGCTTATATTCTGTCCATGTCTTGATTGAAGCTTGAAGTGAATCACGACAGTTGTGATAAACAGACCGTGTGAAGGCAGCTTTTCGGATCCTATCTGTCAATGGACGGACGATGTGGACACGAGGATACACGGTAGTGATGGAAGAGAACGCGAGTTTATGTTTCTAGACTCTTAGCCAAGGATATTTAGGCAATGGTGATCTTGTTTTTTAAATAGAATTTTAAACCAAATCTATTTTAGGTCTCACTGTTGACAAATCATGGCAATTGGGGCAGCGGCTATTTTTAGTTCACGACCTAGACAACAATGGATACGTAAGTGTCACGGAGTTTTTACAGACAGTATTTCTAAATCAAAAGAGCTTTACCTCGATTATACAATTCTTTTGGATTATCGTACAATCAAAGATAAAATTTTTCTGTTTTCAGTTTAAATAATTGAATTCTAATTCATACTGACTTGCTTATATTTTTCAGATTGACTTCGTCGAGCTTGTCCTTACGCTTTACACGTGTCTCGACGCTACACCAGTTGAGAAAATATCGTTTTTATTTGATGTTGTTGATGTTGTTAAAAAACATAAAGGTTTAAATATAAGCGAAATGATTATTTTATTAAAATTATTTAATTATAATTCAAATATTAGCTCAGATAAATTAAGATTAATGGCTGAAAAATGTTTTCAAAAATTTAAATTAAATATAAAAACTGGACGTTTGACAAAATTACAGGCAGTTGAAAGTGTATTGGGTGAAGAAGTATTACAACAATATTACGAATTATTGGAAGCCGATAGTGGTGATGAACGAATAAACTTTAAATTTTAACTAAGACACAAAATACTATTTATTTATTTATGTATGTTTTATTTCATTTAAATCTGAGTCTATTTTTTCTGTGGTTACCGTAGGATCTAATGACGTTGAAAATGAAACATCGACAGTGTAAGGTGGTGATGAATAAGAATTGAATTGATTGTCTGGTTGATAGCTAAACGTATTGTTGAGAAGAAAACATTGCTTCAAATCTTTGTAGAGGAATTGAAATGTATATATGGCGGACGAAAAAAGGCCATAGTTATTGTTGGTGTTAACGTTATACGATGGATCATTATAATATTCGACAACACAATCATTAACATTTTCTTTACTTTCGTAAAACATAGCATTCCTGCTATTTTGCCATTCCACATACCGCATCCTGAAAATGAAATGCACTCTTCATTTATCTAAGAAAATAAAGAAATGTCTAATATTTACCAACAATAGAGAATTCCTATACAAGAGACGGATGTAATAACTGCAGCGACAATAACACCGAATGTGTACAAAAAACGCCATAAGAAAACATTTTCTAAACGTAATAAATATTATAGGCATCAACAAATCAAGAAAATATTTCTACATACGGTAATCATCGTCTGAATTCATTGATCAATTTTCAATGTCCAAAGCTTTTCCACTGTATTAAAATATTTGAACTAGTAACAACTACTAGAATTTAACAAAAAATAATGCTTAAATTCAATATCTAATTTCGTCTAATGCACTCACCAGTCAGAATGAAGAATATCACAGAGCGATATGTACGATATATTTTGATTTTAGATATAAATACATGGGTATTTTTCCTTTAAAACTTTGTCGCCAACAGCATTTTATTTTATCTATGAATCGGAGCAATATGTAATGATGAAATTTTATCAAACATATGTTTTCTTATATAGTCATATAAGTCATATATACCATATTAATATTATCACTGTTCATAACCGTAATGTATTCGAAACATAAATTTTGTCATATATCAACGCCTCAAACTGCAATATAAAAATTATATAATTATTACTCTTATTTCCTTGCCTATTTTTCACATGACTCGTAACGGATCTAAATGAAGATAGTTTTAAGCGATCATTATAGTCAGTGATTTTGTAAAAAACAAATTTTCGAATAGAAAAGCATTTAATAAAATTGTAACGAAGTTTAGTGTAACGTTAGACAAAAATATCGTAAAGATCTGTACGAAGGACAGAGAATAAGAAGAATACATGAATACAGAGAAAGAATCTCGATCCTGTAAAACCAGTTATAAAAGACTGAAACTAGTCTCTGCATTTAGGAAAGGTTCGGACTGAGTCATACTATCCATCAAAAGTCCAAAGTATATACGGTTTCTATATTATAAAAAATTTTCATTGATAAAGTTCTCTAGACGAAAGATTTTAATAATTTTTTATAAGACTTATAAGAATCTTAGAAAAATCTTATATAAGAAAGGCACACGAGACGGCAACTTTTTTCGTAAGACTCTTATAAACATCGCATAGATTTCACATAAATAACTGATCAAAGCCCGATATTTCAAAATGTTGTATGTCACTCTGTTTGTTTTCACAAATCAGGATTCTGTTCATCGCACACATGTGGTTGTTCAGCAACAAAAACAGAAACAGCAATGCACGCATACGACTATAATTTTAATTTCTTCTTGAAAAGAACGTTTTCATTTCACAACAATTTTTCGTTCTCTTCCAGCAGTTTAGTTCCAAATTTTAGGTGGAAAGAAAAACAACTAAAATTCTGAGCACCGCTTCCCAGACCAGGTGGTAGGTTTCTCATTGCACCGTATGTATCATATATTACTTCTGGTTCAGTTATATAACCGAATAAATCTTTACGATATACCTGGTATTATTCCATTACAATATGTACGTAACATATTCGAAGTCATATTTACAATGCAAAAACCCTTGTGCAGTTCAGAGATGAGCAATTGCTGTAGAATCCGTGGATGTCCATGGTTATGGGCACTTTTTTGAAAATGATTATACATGTGGACGGACGGTGGACAGGTTTTTTTGTTCGTTTTTCGCCCAAATCGTTTTTTTACGGAAACTAGTGGTTTTTCTGCATTTCTGAGCTCGATTTCACTAAAATTATGCGACACTGGTAAATTCGCAGACAGTGTCGCCCTACATCTCTGTAGGGCGATCAGATAAATAAAATGTCACGCTCACTTCGCAGAGATAGCCTAAATAGGTTTTTTTACTTTTGCAGAGAAGCTCTAAGAGTAAGACATGTCTATGAAATGGTGTTGGTGTTTACAAATAGTCTTATGTATCTGTTGTTTGTTGCAAATTGTTGCTAGTCATATCGTAGATCATAATTGAATGCTCATAGTTTGATTCAGCTCGGTGAATATCATCAATAGAAGCGTATCTGACTCCTTCTTCGGTCGAGAATACAGCTATATCAATTGTTAGATTGTAAAACAGATGATCATGTCGATCGAATACTCCCGAAACTTTTGGATACGAACGAGTCCAACGTTTATAACGAACATTTGCCGCATAGATATACATAAATGTACTTGAGAAATTGTTGTAAGTCAATGAGCTTTACAATTTGCTTATTTTGAATTGTGATCAAATTGTCCCAAACACGAATCAAAACATGAATCAAATCATTTGTGAGCTGTTGAGCGATCAGTCAATAAATGCGCTGTTTTTTGATCTGCCTCCTTTCCTGCTCCTTTGGTACCTATATAAGTCATGGAGAATATATTCCCCATGATATTCTCCATGACTCCATCATGTAGTGGGTTTGTAAGTCGCTTGATATGCAGTACAAAGAAAACAAGTATGTTATATTGCATTCAGTGTATAAGTGAGTTAAAGCGATTGAATGACTTTATTTAAACACAATTTATGTAGTTCAGACATGATATTTTATAGTCTGCATCTTCATTAAATAATTTCAGAAAAAATAATTTCAGAATCATGATCACCGTCTTCGAAAGCTCTGTCATTTCCAGCAAAAACGGATGAGAAAAAAAAGTGAAAAGAAAACGTTGCTATATGGTAGATTTGAACAATCGATTGATGAATCTGAGGCATTTCCAGCACAGATAGTTTAGACAAGTATAAACTATATCATTGGTCTCACCTGTTAAAAAAGTGTAGACATATTGAGGGCCTCTTAGTTCGTATATTTGTTCATTTAAATACATCAATGACGCTAATTATTAATAACAACATTTGGGAATTATAGTTTTTATCAGTTTGCTCTGTCTTTAAGAATTAGTTTCCACCATGTCGGATGTCCTCTGACGTCCTCGTCAAAAAAATGGTAAGCATTGTCAGCATTCCTCTATGGACCTTTAACTTCAACGCTTCTCCTCACTTACATCAACAAATTCCATGTCAAAAGTAGCTGCCTTTGCCATTGCAAAGTATGACTGCGCTCGGTCTGGATTAAAAGACCTCTTTGAGAGAGCGAAGCAAAACACAGAGTAGAAGTGCCTCCCACCCTCCGTTAAGAAGGTTGTTTCTTTAGAATGCTCGAGTTTTTTAATTTCTTTGAATATGTAATTATATGTGTATCTAAAGCGCAGTTGGATTTTATTTCCTTTCTGTCGGCATCAACGGACCACCTATCGGCAGTTGTACGAAATGAAAGTTACTCAACAGTCGTGTGCGTGCTAGTTAGAGCGTGATAAAGTAACTTTTTCTTAGTTCCGATCTCGGTCCCGATTGTTTAAAAAAACTGAATCACGCTCCCACTGGTCCCGGTTTGATGACCATTTTCAGCCTTTCGCATCATAGTCTGACGGCATCTGAAGGTGAGAACTGGTAACGTGCTCCTTCCCACGATACTATGCATACCCGTCATGGCAGCAGCTGTCGAGCACCGTTTTCGCAAAGCTAGCTTCTGATGCAACCGCATCATTCAACTATGACAAAACCCCAACGGACAAAAGTGTGACTTCAGCTGCTTCATGGCTACTTCAAGCTACTTCAACGGTACTTCAATATTCTTTTCAGATACTTGAAAGCTATTCGAGCACAAGTAACAAACATCTAACTGGTAGATGTACGGATCATGTCTCGTAGAGTGCTTCAAGATACAAAATAACAACTCTTTCGAATCAACTTGAAGGAAACCCTGGTGAACTTACACGCTCTAAACTTACCATGGCCACGCTAGATTTTCCACAGGCAGGACATGTTACGTGGCCGTGGCCATGCGTATGGCAAAGCCACGTCACGTGACTTGCAAAAATTCTTGCAAGCTCGCCATGCCATCTGACTTGCTTTTCTGACTGCCCCAGAAAATGTCCAGTTTGCTTGATCTGACCACTGGTCAGTAAACTGTAAGTAAAAAAGTCTTTGTTCTGTTTTCTTGGTCAGGATCTGTTTTTTTCCTGACCAGCGAAAGAAATCAAGAAAAGGACCTGCTTTTTGGATAGTCATCATGCACATGCATTTAACTAATACACCATGATCCCTTTGGGACCTCACAATCTTTATTTCAAATGAAAAAAGGCATGTTTTTAGGGAAATTATACATCAAAGACAAAGGATTCAGTGCGAGTACACAGCAACTTTGGCTCTCTAATGCCTCATGCTTCCACCACATATGTTTAGCAACAGCAACAGGCATGTTGGATTAAAAACTCTATGTACATAAAGAAATGACTACCAGCTTTTCTAAAGAACAAAGATATACTTAGTGTCAAAAATATTACCAAAATAAACTCATCTCCTAATGATGAATAACAAAAACTTACATTGCATTATTTGTTTATTTTTATCGGAAACAGTTCAGACTATTTTGTATTATTTTGTGGAGATCCAACCTTCTGTTGCGCATCTCCAGTTGACAAATGTCATGAACTTACATGTTGGATTAGTCCTAACGATCTGAATTCAACATTCCTGAGCTTTTTCATACTACTCATATAACTTAGCACAACCTGAGGCATAGTTAATGATTTACTATCCATCGAAAATATTGACGATACACAAAAATGATGCTTTCCGATTTTAGCTGTTCAGCTGTCAATTGTTAAAAACGTTATCATTATTGGAAACAAAAGCTCAATATTTATTCGTTGCATCAATAATAAATATCAAGAATGTTCGTTATTTATCTTCATCAACCAATACTAAGAGTGTACTAGGATGGGGTGTCTTATTAAAAAAATATAAAACAAATAGACAAAATGAAGAAGCATTGAAATTATTTCATGATGGAATTAATACACAAAAATTGATACCAAATTATGTCATTTATTTATTAGTTATTGGTGCTTGTAGTGATTTAGGAAATTTAGAAAAAGGAAAAGAAATACATAAAATGATGAATAACACTAGAGATGATATAAAGAATAATACTAAAGTACAAACTTCATTAATAAATATGTATTTGAAATGTCATGATATTAATAATGCAAAAAAAAACCCTCGACACATAACGGGCATTTAATCTCAAAATAAATGTGAGAGCAGTTGATGATTTATGGTTCGCGTATGAGTATTACCAATAAGGTAACGTCATGAGGCGAAAACATTCGCGCTTGAACTTTCAGAGAATGTATACCCGTAGATATTATCGCTAAGACCAGTTCGTTATTAGGGCCAATCTAATATTCTGTGACTGAGGTGGAATGGCTGAGCCCCAATTCTCTGTGTAGACTCGGAAGAGAGAAAGAGAGAGATGATATATAATCAATAGAGGCAAGACGATATGGCGTAAGAGAGAGAGGGAAAGTGAGAGGAAGTGATATGATAAACAGTGATAAAAAGCACGGGAGAGAAGAGAGGGAGTGACACATCGAAGTGAGCAACATTGGTGGTGTGAGTGTATCATCACACTGTCGGGTACATCTATGGGATGCATCAGTTCTGTGTGACAAGTTAAATAACTACCTTCAGACACAACGTTGTTCTGATCGATCATTGTTCTATTAGTGGATGCCTGTAGAGAGGACTCGGTGAGTTCTGTCGAATAGCATGACGCGTTTTCAGTTTGGAGGAATTAGTGAGTGTTGGTCGATATTAGCGTCTTTTACAAATACCCATATTATTTGACAATTACCGTCGTGTCTCCTCATTGTGCCTGCTTCATCGTTTGATTTATTTTTACAAACTGAGCTCAACCGTGACATGTGTTGATACCTCGGTGACGGCTCAGGATAGGCAAACAACAGCGAAAAAAAGGGAACAAAACGAAGGTGCAATCCTTTGCTGAACTGAATTCAGAGACTGTCTCGTTTCATTAGTTTTATTTCGAAAAGATTTAAACAAAAGCCAAGGTAAAGACAAACAGAACAAAATATCATTCGGCACGAGCGAAGGTGGTGCAATCCGTTCGCCTCGGCCTGAGAAGAAAATGTATATATGATCATGCATTACAAAAAGTTTTTGATATAAATGAGTCTCGACATCATTGGAAAGTTTTCAAAAAACACAGCAATAACCTATTGGACCCCAGCACGTACAGCCACATTTTCCATTTTTTCCAAGGAAACAGAAGCCACAGCATTCCGATTTGGCATCTGGTGAATCAGCTTTTTCACCTGCCGAGTGATCTTCAAGAACAACGTCCATATTTCTAGTCGCAGCAACTTGAAGTAAATGAGAAGAAATCATCAAGACAAACAGCAGGCAAGTGACTGTTAATGCCATTGTCATTTGTTTTTGTCCTAAAGTAAACGAGACACAATGTGTTTCACTAAAGACCAAGTGACAACTTACTCTTGTTTAACGGTGTATGCTCACAAAAACAAACTTAGAGATCTGAATGATTTTCAAACGTATTCATGAGCGTTTAATAATTAAAAGTGTCTATTGTGTTGTTGAATAAAATTACGGCGAGCATGAATGAAAAGGGAAGTAATATTGATGTATAAACAGACAACTGTTCACAACAAGATCAGTTAGCTATTGTTCTAATAAGGAGGACTTGTATTCTGTTAGGCATTGCCCTGCTCAAGAGAAAATTTGTATTTTACGTTACATATTTTAATGAATGATCTTTATTAACACAAGTTAATGGTCGAGCTTTTCCATGTTAGCGCCACGGTTCTCGACGTTTCTGTCTGTAAATAGACAAGTGTCATTTATGTCATTAAAGTTCTTTATTTTATTTTTAGATGTAACCGAAGCACGTTTGTGTGACTATTCAGACCAAGATTTAAGGGGCTGACTACGTCGATATCGCAGCGGCAATTGCACTGGCTTTGTTGAACGAATAATTTGAAAATAAATTTGGGAAGAGATTCACTATGTCAAATAACAAAGCCAATTAAGACGAATTTGAGTTAGGAAGCTACGGTATCGGCATATCGAAAGTAAAACATTAGATTAACATTAAAAAAAAAGATAAAAGCATATAAACGCCAATACGTGACAATGTTCCGATTGCTAAGATATTTTAAACAATAAATAATATTCCTACAAAAAAATATTTTATCGGCACTGGTTGTGCACGGGTGCGCACCGCTGCCGAATAATTTTTTTTCTGGGCACCGATGCACACCAGTGCCAAAAAGAATGTAAAAATCCCGCAGCGGTGCGCACCAGTGCCAAAGTTTTGTTTTCAATCACCATTTTGCTTTGTCAATTTCTGTCTATATTAACGCTAGTCTACTTCTAATATTTCGAATGTCTTTCTGACTTCATCTTTTCCTTCTCATAAGAGAAGTGCCGAGGCAATGTCGCATAGTTTTGGCATGTCGATGTGGTACTGGTCAGTACCGCACTCTAATACAAAATTCAGCATAAACAGCGATAATAAAGAACTAATTAAATTGATTAAATAAATTATGAGTGCGGCACTCTTTCGGCAGAAATACATCGGCACTAGTGCGCACGGGTGCCAATCAGCACTGGTTTGGCACTTGCTGGGCACGGGTGTACACCGGTGCCAGCCAGTGCCAGTGACCGATGGCATGCCATGCGCACCGGTACGCACTGATTTTTACCAGTACCGCACTGGAATATTTTTTAAGGGATGACTTTGTCTTTGAAAACAAATTGAAAGAATAAAAAGAAAAAATTTACATTTTAAATAAAATTGTCACTCTCTCTTTCCTTCTAGAAGAATAAACAAAGTTTTCTGCAAAGTTAGAGCTCATTCCTTCTGGCGCTAAGAAAGTCGATTTTTAATTTCCACTTGATATGCCGGTGAAAACCGGCCGGTCCAACTCACTCAAACGGTTCGGCCGGACCGGACCGATTACAACTCTGAGCCTGATATTAGAGATGAAAGGACATAGAAGCACTTATTAAAATGATTTTTGAATTGCTTTGTACCACGGCTAGGGCGGTATTGCTGTGTGTAAAAACATTTAGTACAAGTCATGAATCCTGCTACTTTTTTGAACGAGCCACTGCCATCGATGCTTGCCGGAAATCCGAAACCTTTCTACCATTCGGCCATAGCTAATGAATCATATCTGATCACGGAATACTTAAATTTGTTTGTTCGCAGTAAACGTTTGATTTTGTGACGTGAGAGATGGTGTTCGATTAGGATCGCCATCAAGAATACATCAATATTACTTCCTTTTCATTCATGCTCGCCGTAATACTTCCTTTTGATTATTAAACGCTCATGAATACGCTTGATCAAAAGTTAGTTCCGTTTCAAGCCGCTCAGAGAGGAAACTCATCTCGTTAACTTAAATCATGAACATGAAAGCAAAAATCGAGCGTAAAATAAATAGAGACTTTCTTTTTGTTTGGTTCTTCCGCGCACTAGTCAACTTGTTCCTTAATTAACTTGTCCTTACTTGCTATTAATGTCTTAAAAGAATATAAATTAATAATAGAAAAAGATGAATGTTTAGCAAATCAAAGAAAGTTTTGTAAATCATATTTAAAATGTCTAGCATCAGAAGAACAAAGTGAGATTGAATTTAGACTAACTTTATCTAAATTTGGTATCAAAAATATTAACCACTATTATGATACGTTTAAACGTATTGATACATGTACTAAGACATATATAAACTCCTGATTGTTTAGCTGTATTAAGAAGTCCATCATATACGAAATATGTTAAAGATATAGATGAAACAATGTTAAAATCACCGAAGCCGAGAAAAATAACAACAGCGAATCGTTTATCGTCAAATAATAAAGAGAATAATGATCCTGCTGTCGTTAAACATCCGTATTCGTTAGGTAAATAAGAAAATACCTCTTTGAATATGCGGGTTCGGCAGAAAGTGTATTTAAAGGATAATACATAAAAAAAGATGTTTTTGCCAACCTTAGCACGTAGAGGCCTTTATAGGGGAGAGTTCTATACGACAAAACAGGGAGAGTTGATCCAGTGATCGTGAGAGCGAGTCGCCAGGCAATATTTTACCATGTACCTTTTCGATCTTTGTTATATAATGCCTTTTTATATTTTAGATGATATGAAATTACCTGATTTTTTTCCATCCAAAAGACTTTACATTAAAGGTTTTTTTACCTATAGGTCGCTTTACTGCAAGAAAAAGTGATATTTCTCTATTCTAGTTCCTAATTATTTGTATTTCCTTTGCTTTCTAGATCATTCAGATGAATATGAATTGAATGAGGGTAATAATCAAAATGTTTTGGTTACAGAAGAGCAACCATCACAAGAAAACGTCACAACAGAAGAATTAAGTAGCAAACGTAAACGAAGTCAAACAGCGAAAAGAGCACAATTAAAAATAAAAAACTAAATTGATGTAATCGTGAACAGCTTACCTATTCCTTTTTTTATTTCTATGTAGTTTAGTTTAATTTTTTTCTGCTATTCATATATGATGTTTTTCTCATTGTTTTCTTTATATTTATTGACACGGTTTACCGCCGTCAAGCACCCAATTAATGATGGTTTTATGATGGCTGCTAACGATGTGGACGCCGACAGCAGACAAATTAGAAACATAAGAGTATTTTTGTATTATTAATTTATAGAGGTGTATGCGTATATATTTTTCTTTAGTGTGTACATTCTTTCCCTTTTTTTTCTTTTTTTTCGAAATTCTGCATCTGTCAGATTACTATGTACTTAGGAGATATCATTAGATTGTCTTAAATCTGTTTGTTGCCATAATTGTACATAACTTATTCTTACCGCGCTATATCTGTTGGGAATTAATTAATAATTTTTATTATATAGTAAACTGCTGTTTATTTTTCTATATAATATTTTTTAACCTTTAACTGTTTACTCAAGATACACATTTAATTTTTATTTTCTTATGGATCTCTGTGTAGTTATTGCTGTTTTTGTAGTGACCTGTATATAATAAAAAATTGTTCAACCGCTGAAATGAACGTTAGATATGATAGTATATTGAGCAATAAAGAAGACGCTTTCGAGTGATATACTTGCCCCAAGCGTCAAAAAAAAATCTAGTATCCCCCGATTCATCTAGATTACTAGATTTTTACTCGATTGCAACTACTGTGTAACGACCGTGGAAATCTAGTAACTGGGTGATTACTAGATTTTTTCTAGTTGCAACT